GGTGTCTAGATCCAGGAAAGTCATGCTTAACCCTCTATTCTGCCTTGGTTAGTCCACACCTGGAATTACACAGTGTCCAAGTCTGGGCACCACAATTGAAGGGAGATGTTGACAAGCTGGAATGTGTCCTGAGGAGGGTGACTCAAATGATCAAGAGTTTGGAGAACAAGCCCTATGAGGAGCAGCTTAAAGAGCTGGGCATGTTTAGTCTGCAGAAGAGAAGGCTGAGAGGAGACATGATGAAGATCATGGATAAAGATGTGAGGGGAAGTCATAGGGAAGAGGGAGCAAGCTTGTTTTCTGCTGCCCTGGAAAACTAGGACGTGGTACAATGACTCCAAACTACTATGTTCAGGTGGAAAGGAGATTCCACCTGAACATTAGGAAGAATTTCCTAACGGTGAGAACTGTCCAGCAGTGGAACTCTCTGGCCTGGAGTGTGGTGGAGCCTCCTCCTTTGAAGGCTTTTAAACAGAGGCTGGATGGCCATCTGTCGGGGGTGCTTTGAATTCGATTTTCCTGCTTCTTGGCAGGGGGTTGGACTGGATGGCCCATGAGGCCTCTTCCAACTCTATGATTCTATGATTCTCTCTCTCTAGCAATTTCTCAAAATCTAGTAGTTAGTTAGAATTATCTAGGATTTCTAGAGCACCTGGTCATAATAATAATAATAATAACAACAACAACAACAACAACTTTATTTATACCCTACTACCATCTCCCAAGGGACTCGGTGTGGCTTACATGAGGCCGAGCCCACAATACATCAATACAAGCAATAACAACCACAATACAAAGCAAAATACAAATACTAATACAAAGCAATTAAAATAAATCTCATACACAAATAGCATAAACATTGAACAATAGCACAAAACACATTTAAAATCTATGGCTGGGCCAAATGTAATTAAAGTTAAAAAAATAATGCTGGGCATGAACAAGATAGAGGAGTCATAGGTTCACTACTTGGTGTTTGTTTTTTTTAAAAAAAAAACTGGATAGGAGATTGGAAATAATCACCTGCAGCTTCTATATTTATGCAAATCTGGAGAACAATGGAATGTTTATCTCTAAGAGTGCATCTACACTGTAGAATTAATGCAGTTTGACACCACTTTAACTGCTGTGGCTAAATGCTATAGAAACGTGAAAGTTGTAGTTTTACAAGCTTTCTCTGCTTTCAGAGTGTTGATGCCTCACCAAACAACAAATGCATGGATACCATAACCTTAAACCATAGCAGTATCAAACTGCATCAAATCTGAAGTGTAGCTTCAGGCCCAGGCTGCAGCGGTTTAAACTGCTAAGGTGCAAAACATGCTGAGCAGAAGGTCAGCACTTCAAATCTGCAGGACAGGATGAGCTCCCATCATTAGATCCAGCTTCTGCCAACCTAGCAGTTCAAAAACATGCAAATGTGAGTAGATGGCCACATGATCTTGGAGGTGTCTATGGACAATGCCAGCTCTTTGGCTTAGAAATGGAGATGAGCACCAACCCCCAGAGTCAGCCATAATTAGACAATGTCAAGAGGAAACATTTATCTTCAGGCTGATAAAAATATGGAAACACAGCCAGCACTAAAAACATGGCATCCTTTATTTGGAAGCCCATCTAACTTTGTGGAACTAAGTGGAAGGAAGGGATGACATTTAAACAGGATTGTAGTCTTTTCTCCCACCCCTCCGATTTTAAGCCATATACACAGTTTAAGCTCTGGCTTATGGCATCATAAGCTATCAACCTGTGCAAATATTGACTTTGTTGCTTCAGTTCAACCACTGCTTGTACTAGATCTGTACATAATTGAAAACTGTTGGAAAAATCTGTGCCGGAGATAGATAAAGGAGATCTAAGAACGAGAATCACTTCCCATCCCTGAGGAAAAGGAAAACATAACCATGGCTTTTGACAGTCAGCCCCTTGCCCATTGTATGATCTCCCCCCCCCCCTGCTCTCTCTATATATGGGTAAAGTGGTAAAACAAGGGACTGTTGGCTCACCTCCAGGAATTATAGACACCTAGCCAAGCATAAAGTAAGTGGAATCCCGCCTTCAATAAACAAAGCGACCTTGCCAGGTGAAACAAAGCAGGCGTGGCAATTGGCAAGAGATGCTGCAGGACGCTTGGGAGGGAGGGAGGGAGTGGGGCTTAGATTTGACTCTTTCCTTCAGTGTATACACAAGTATGCACATCCCATGTACTGTCAACAGTCCCAAATACAATGAATCTCTATTTCTGCACTGAAGGCCACATAGCACATTTCAAAAACGGAAAACAAAGACATCATCATAGTAACATACAAATTGGAAGAGACCTTGTGGGCCATCCAGTCCAACCCCCTGCCAAGAAGCAGGACAATTGCATTCAAAGCACCCCCAACAGATGGCCATCGAGCCTCTGTTTAAAAGGCTTCAAAGAAGGAGGCTCCACCACACTCTGGGGCAGAGAGTTCCACTGCTGAACAACTCTCCTAATGGTCTTCCTAATGTTCAGGGGTAATCTCCTTTTCTGTAGTTTGAATAATAATAATAATAATAATCTTTATTTATACCCCGCCACCATCTCCCCAAGGGGACTCGGGGTGGCTTACATGAGGCCAAGCACAACAATTCAGCAACAATACAGCCATGCAAATAAACAACATACAACAATGATAAAATGTAAAAATAAAAATAAAATACAAGAAACAATATAAATAAGCACATCAAACAATGTAAAATCACTATAATTTAAACACAAAAATAAATCACAGTGGGCAGGGCCAGTTTGAAGTCATCACTCCGTGTCCTAGTCTCCAGGGCAGCAGAAAACAAGCCTCCTTCCTCCTGCCTGTGACTTCCCCTCACATCTTTATACATGGCCTTCATCATGTCTCCTCTCAGCCTTCTCTTCTGCAGGCTAAACATGCCCAGCTCCTTAAAGCCGCTCCTCATAGGGCTTGTTCTCCAGACCCTTGATCATTTGAGTCGTCCTCTGGACACATTCCAGCTTGTCAATATCTCTCTCGAATTGTGGTGCCCAGAATTGGACACAATATTCCAGGTGTGGTCTAACCAAGGCAGAATAGAGCATGGGGAGCATGACTTCTGTGGATCTAGACCAGGGGTAGGGAACCTTGCCAAAATCCCATTGGCTTTTTTAGCTGCAGCATCACATTGTTGGCTCACGTTTAACTTGTTCCCCACAAGGACTCCAAGATCTTTTTCACACATACTTGTGTCGAGCCAGGCGTCCCCCATTCTGTATCTTTGCATTACTCTTCATTTTAGTGTAGGGATGCAATCAATGGACTTCCAGATATTTTGGAGGAGAACTCCATAAACCCATTGGCCATATAATGTGGGGCAGGTGGGAATTTTCCATCTTCCTCATCTCAAGCGCCTTAGAATAACTAAGGCATAGGTCAAATATGATAGTGCTCATGTTGTTTTTCAGATATGGAGATAGACGTAAGCATGCAAGAGATCAGATAGGCTGTTTGCTTAAGGCAAAGAGGATTAGAACAAGACATCAAATCCAGAGTTTGTAATATGGTAAAGAGGAAATAAACTCTGAAATCCAATGCCTTACATGTTTGCACTAGCAACTCTGAAGTCTGTCAAAGGAGGTTGAGCTTCTCTTGCCAATCGAAACTATTGTTTCAACAAAAGGATAGAAACTAGAAAGTGTTATTATAGCTTGGCGTTCTCCAATCCTGGTCTCTCCAAATGCATTACATAACTCCCATCACCCTTAACCAGCATGGCCAAGGAGGTTGTAGTTTAACTTATCTGAAGTTGCTGTGTGTGGTTTTTTTATTGTGTCAGAAGCGACTTGATAAACTGCAAGTCACTTCTGGTGTGAGAGAATCAACCATCTGCAGAGATGTTGCCCAGAGGATGCCCAGATGTGTTACGATCCTGTGGGAGGCTTCTCTCATGCTCCTGCATGGGAAACTAGGGCTGACAGAGGATAGCTCACCCCATCTTGTGCATAACCCATATATTGGGGAAATTGTTAATTGCCATCAAGTTGACTTTGACTTTCTCTATAATCAGAGATCTCCAAATCACCCTGTTATCAACAGTCCTGCTCACGTCTTGCAAACTAAAAGGCATTTAGTTTCTCGAGTTGTTTCTATCCCTGGTTTTATTGCGTAATGATGTAATGTTTTGTTATTGCTTATGTTTTTAATTAGCTTTGAATTGTATTGTTATTGTTCTGCTGTTGTTGTGTTGAGGCCTTGGCCATTGTAAGCCGCATCGAGTCCTTCGGGAGATGCTAGCAGGGTACAAATAAAGTTTAATAATAATAATAATAATAATCCCCCTGGAAGGCAGTCTTTGTGTTTTCTTGCTGCCTTCTACCTTACCAAGCACTACTGTCCCTCAAAATGAGTCATGTCCTTTCATGATATCTCCACCTATGACAGTCCCACTTTAATGGATCAAGCCCAATGCAGTTTGACACCACTTCCAGGGGAAAAAAAGCCAGGCCTGATTTATTCTTTAACCCATTTATTTGTCTAATTGGCAGTCTTTCAGTCTCACATTTCAAATTAGTTGATCGACTTCCTATCAGCTTTCTTCATATCCAGTTTTCACACCCAGTCATTGAAATCAGAAATCATATGGCATGGGCAGTCCTAACCTTGATATTTAAGAATTGGGATTTTGTGTTGTCGAAGGCTTTCATGGCTGGAATCACTGGGTTGTTGAAGGTTTTTCGGGCTATATTGCCATGTTCTAGAAGCATTCTCTCCTGACGTTTTGCCTGCATCTATGGCAAGCATCCTCAGACCTCACAACCTCCGAGGATGCTTGCCATAGATGCAAGCGAAACGTCAGGAGAGAATGCTTCTAGAACATGGCAATATAGCCATATAGCCCGAAAAACCTACAACAATCCATTGGGAATATTGTTTCCCAAACCCTAGCTGCTGGTAAAAAGCCATATCTTGTGCTTTACAGTGTGTCATGGGGGACTGATAACCTGTTTCTTTTGTACTTATCAGGTTTATGCTGTGAATCTCAGAGAAGACAACTTGTACTGACGCCATGAGTGATTCAGGAAGGTAAGAATGACAATGAGATTTTGGGTCCATTTTAGCCTGATCCACTGCTCAGACAGACACTGCCACCAGTAAAGGGAAGGGGTGGCTTGTCTCCATGTAGCCCAGGCATGGGCAAAATTCAGCTCTCCAGGTGTTTTGGACTTCAACTCCCACCATTCCTAACAGCCTCAGGCCCCTTCCTTTCCCCCCCTTAGCCACTTAAGCGACTGAAGGGGAAAAGGAAGGTGCCTGAGGCTGTTAGGAATGGTGGGAGTTGAAGTCCAAAACACCTGGAGAGCTGAATTTTGCCCATGCCTGGTGTAGAAAACAATGATGTTACTGACTCAACCACCCATATGCACAATTGCAGATTTTGGAGTATTTCAGAATTGTGAGTAGGAGATGCCCAACCTGTATTTATTACTCCATGGACTGACCTTGAGGGAGCTGGGGGTGGTAACGGCCGACAGGGAGCTCTGGCGTGGGCTGGTCCATGAGGTCACGAAGAGTCGGAGACGACTGAACGAATGAACAACAACAACATCCTATCTTATCCACTTGATTTGGGTTAGAGTTGTTTAATCGTGGTCAAATACTGTTGGAGAAATAATAGCAAATGGAGCAAGCGAAGGGCCCAAACAGCTCCAACTCCTTATAGCCTCTTGGCAAGTCAACTTGTGTTTGGGCCACTACCATTCCCACTCTATTTCACTTCCATTCTGGATGGAGGCAATGGGTGTTGGTGACTTCAGGTCTAAATTGGCTGAGGTTTGCTGCAAAAATTATTGGAACAAAAATTTGCTGCAAAACCTACTGGATTGGGAACTACGTTGCTTCAGTAGAATTACAAAATCTTCTCAAGTAAAATTAAATGGCATCCATTTTCTGTATGAATTATGGATCTTTGTCAATTGTTGCAAGATGTCAGGATAAAGGGGATTTATTTATTTATTTGTCGTGTCAGAACAACCAGTCAAATTATATTACATTTCTAACAGAAACAAAGCAAACAAGCAGATTACAGAATTTGTGAGTTGAGAGTTGATTAAATGTCCTTTGACCAGTATCTGGCCACTTGGAGTGCCTCTGGTGTTGCTGCAAGAAGGTCCTCCATTGTGCATGTGGCAGGGCTCAGGTGCATTGCAGCAGGTGGTCAGTGGTTTGCTCCTCTCCACACTCGCATGTCGAGGATTCCACTTTGTAGCCCCATTTCTGAAGGTTGGCTCTGCATCTCGTGGTGCCAGAGCGCAGTCTGTTCAGTGCCTTCCAGGTCGCCCAGTCCTCTGTGTGCCCAGGGGGGAGTCTCTCATTGGGTATCAGCCATTGGTTGAGGTTCTGGGTTTGGGCCTGCCACTTTTGGACTCTCGCTTGCTGAGGTGTTCCAGTGAGTGTCTCTGTAGATCTTAGAAAACTATTTCTAGATTTAAGTCGTTGACGTGCTGGCTGATACCCAAACAGGGGATGGGCTGGAGATGTCTCTGCCTTGGTCCTTTCACTATTGGCTGCTACTTCCCGGCGGATGTCAGGTGGTGCAATACCGGCTAGACAGTGTAATTTTTCCAGTGGTGTGGGGCGCAGGCACCCTGTGATAATGCGGCATGTCTCATTAAGAGCCACATCCACTGCTTTAGTGTGGTGAGATGTGTTCCACACTGGGCATGCATACTCAGCAGCAGAGTAGCACAGCGCAAGGGCAGATGTCTTCACTGTATCTGGTTGTGATCCCCAGGTTGTGCCAGTCAGCTTTCGTATGATATTGTTTCTAGCACCCACTTTTTGCTTGATGTTCAGGCAGTGCTTCTTGTAGGTAAGAGCACGGTCCAGAGTGACTCCCAGATATTTGGGTGCGCTGCAATGCTCCAGTGGGATTCCTTCCCAGGTGATCTTCAGAGCTCGGGATGCTTGTCTGTTCTTGAGATGAAAGGCACATGTCTGTGTTTTAGATGGGTTGGGGATCAGTTGGTTTTCCCTGTAATAGGCAGTAAGAGCACCTAGAGCTTCAGAGAGCTTCTGTTCAACCATCTCAAAGCTCCCTGCTTGAGCAGTAATGGCACGATCATCAGCGTAGATGAAACTCTCTGTCCCTTCTGGCAGTGGCTGGTCATTTGTGTAGATGTTGAACATGGATGGGGCAAGCACGCTCCCTTGAGGCAGGCCGTTCTTCTGTTTCCGCCATCTGCTTCTCTGACCCTGGAACTCAACAAGGGGATAACTGTCTCCGAGATTCTCAAAGAGCCTGAGGGCTTAATGGTTTCTGAGAAGGAGGAATGGTGCTCTGGGAATTTACGCTTACAGGTTTTTTTTTCAATAGTCTGTTTTATCTTCCAGCCTAGTTGGTGATGTCTCAAAGCCCAGTGCCAGAGCCATATATGGTGAGTTTGCGGGCGCGGGAATGTATCACAAGGATTCCTTCATAACAAGGAGGTGGTAATGATCAGAGCCTAACGAAAACCTCACTTCCAACTCTTCTATCCTTGGCCAATTCAAGGTCACCGGCTCTCATAAAAACTGGTTCTTTTATACAACAACTTCCTTAACTTGACATGTCCTGTGCCTTACTGTCCTTCTCGTGTTTCCTGTGAAACTTCTAGTTAACGCTTTAATAAGTGGGTTTGGTTGCAATTCATCTTTTGCCCCACCCACTCCTCACCTTCCCTCCCTTCCTCTGACAAACCCCCTGCACTCCAGTCTAAATAATGCATTCCTTGAATGCAGGGAACTAACCTTATTAATTTACAAAACTTCAGGAAGCATTCCTGTGCTATGCAAAAATAATATTTATACTCTTTTGCAAATCAGTTTCCTGTAAAACCTGTAAAATTCTAAAGCAGTGTTTCTCAACCTGGGGGTCAGGACCCTTGGAGGGAGTCACAAGGGAGTGTCAGGGGGTCACCAAAGACCATCTGAAAACACAGTATTTTCTGTTGATCATGGGGGTTCTGTATGGGAAGTTTGGGCCCATATCATTGGTTGGATTCAGAATGCTCTTTTATGGTAGGTGAACTATAAATCCCAGCAACTACAACTCCCAAATGTCAAGATCTATTTTCCCCAAACTCCACCAGTGTTCACATTTGGGCATATTGAGTATTCGTGCCATGTTTGGTCCAGATCCATCATTGTTTGAGTCCACAGTGCTCTCTGGATGTAGGTGAACTACAACTCCAAACTCAAGGTCAATGCCCACCAAACCCTTCCAGTATTTTCTGTTGGTCATGGGAGTTCTGTGTGCCAAGTCTGGTTCAATTCCATTATTGGTGGAGTTCAGAATGCTCTTTGATTGTAGGTGAACTATAAATCCCAGCAACTACAACTCCCAAATGACAAAATCACCCCCCCCCAACCCCACCAGTATTCAAATTTGGGAGTATTGGGTATTTGTGCCATATTTGGTCCAGTGAATGCAAATACATCCTGCATATCAGATATTTACATTACGATTCATAACAGTAGCAAAATTACAGTTATGAAGTAGCAACGAAAATAACATTATGGTTGGAGGTCACTACAACATGAGGGATTGTATTAAGGGGCTGAGGCATTAGGAAGGTTGAGAAACACTGCTCTAAAGACTATCCTGTGCTATAATAAATGATATGTATATAATTTAGTTTGCTAATGTTTGCTAAAGGCTGAACTGTTCATGAAGGTTTAATGTGGGAGGAGGCACTATTTTCCTTGCTTGTATCCCATATTTTGTTGTGTTTTATCAAGCTGAAAAGTGTCATTTTCAGTTGCGAGAACAGCTACAATCTTCTCCCCTAGATCCCAGCAAATTGAACCTTCTAGGTTCCTTGAATTAGAGGAGGCTATTTGATCTGAAAGAACCCTGGAATTTAAGGAACCCTGCAAAGTTGGGTTTGCCGGGTTGTAAAACCCAAATATTGTCAACACCAGCCTGAGGCACTAGCTACCGGAGAAACTGTAAGAAAAGAGGAGAAGGGTGTGTGTAATTCTCACAAGCTAAACTGGTTCCCCGAGGGAGAGGCAATAATTATATCCTTCTGTTATAGGAGAGGTAATGGCTCTTTAAAAACAGAAATGTCTTCCTTAGAGGGATAAGTCACTGGGTGACATGAAGTCCTGTAATCAGACAAACTTGAATTAGAATTTGTCTACTTTGTGTTACATTCCATTTCATTATGGGTGTCAAATTGGTTAAGATGAATGCTCCTCTGTAATCATTTCCGACTTGTAATTCTTGACTCAAAATTTCTGTAATATAAGTCTTCATTTATTGGGTTGCTGGGAGTTTTCCAGGCTGTATGACCGTGTTCCAGAAGCATTCTCTCCTGACTTCTGGTTGCTTCTGGTACCAAGGCAGTGACATCTCCGGCCCATCCTCTGTTAGGATATCAGATCTTAGTTTTCTAAGATCTACTGAGATACTTGCAGGAACTCCTCAGCAAGCGAGAGTCCAAAAGTGGCAGGCTAAAACCCGGAACCTCAAGACATGGCTGATACCAAATCAGAGACTCCCCCCTGGGCACAGAAAAAACTGGGTGACTTGGAAGGCACCAAACAGACTGTGCTCTGGCACCACGAGATGCAGAGCCCACCTTAAGAAATGGGGCCACAAAATGGAGTCCACAACATGCGAGTGTGGAGAAGAGCAAACCACAGACCATCTATTACAATGCAGTCTGAGCCCTGCCACATGCACAATGGAGGACCTTCTTATAGCAACACCAGAGGCACTCCAAGTGGCCAGCTACTGGTCAAATGATATTTAGTATAATGCCAAGTTTTTTACTGTGTGTGTTTTTTTTAAAAAAAATACATTGCAGCTGTACCCTCGGTTCACTTCGGATACGATAAATAAATTCTCTCCTGACGTTTCACCCACATCTATGGCAGGCATCTTCAGAGGTTGTGAGGTCCTGTTGATGTGGGCAAAATGTCAGGAGAGAATGCTTCTGGAACAGGGCTATACAGCCTGGAAAACTCACAGCAACCCAATGATTCTGGCCATGAAACCCTACAACAACACATCTTCATTTATTTCCATTTCCACGCAGCCCCCGGTGGCGCAGTGGGTTAAACCCCTGTGCCGACAGAACTGAAGACCGACAGGTCGCAGGTTCAAATCCAGGGAGAGGCAGATGAGCTCCCTCTATCAGTTCCAGCTCCTCATGCGGGGACATGAGAGAAGCCTCCCAAAAAGATGATAAAAACATCAAATCATCCAGGCGTCCCCTGGGCAACGTCCTTGCAGACAGCCAATTCTCTCACACCAGAAGCAACTTGCAGTTTCTCAAGTCGCTGACACGACAAAAAAAAATTATTTCCACCTAGGGAAACTGAATCCCAGTTAAAAATTGGAATCCCTGAAATGTCTCACAACTGATGTGTACAGCTTCTTCTGCTAAGCAAAGTCCTCTTGTTGGTGGTCTGCAGACAATCCAAATGTGCCACCTTGCTTTTTATCCCTGATGAAAAACAAAAGCTGTGTTTGGGAAGGAGGTTCATGAGTTGTCTTGCCATTCCCCTTCTGTTGTCTATTGAGTTAGATCTGCGGAAATCTGACTTGTTGTTGTGTGTGACCCAGCCTGTACTTTCCAATTGACTGCTTTAGTCAACATTCCACGCCAGTTTCTCCTCCATTGACTAATGTTTACTATTTTTCTGCAGAGCAAAGGAAGAAGTATTCCAACATCATCATGGCAGATGTTTCCCAGTATGCTGTCAATGTAGGTGTCTCTTCAACATTTGAGTTTGAATTGTGCTGAATTTTAGGGAACCATAGCTGGGGAATCACAGAGATGAATTGAGAATGGGAGAGCGTATGCTATTTGACTGTTGAATGTTTTTATACTCTTTTTATACTGTTTTTATTTAAATTGTATATTTATGGTTGTGGGCACCATGGTGTGCCAGTCGTTAGCCGTCCTGAGTCCCTCTGCGGAGGTCGAGATAGGACGGGATACAAATGTCTGAGGATATATATATATATATTAGGGATGGTGGAATGAGAGATAGTATCTGTTGGTTGGGGGGTTGCGGAGGTGCAGCGGGTTAAACTGCTAAGCTGCAGAACTTGCTGACTGGAAGGTCAGCAGTTTGAATCCGCTGATGGGGTGAGCTCCCATTGTTAGCCCCAGCTTCTGCCAACCTAGCAGTTTGAAAACATGAAATGTGAGTAGATCAGTAGGCACCGCTTTGGTGGGAAGATAACAGTGCTCCATGCAGTCATGCTGGCCACATGACCCAGGAGGCGTCTACGGACAACGCCGACTCTTCAGCTTCGAAATGGAGATGAGCACCACCACCCAGAGCTGGACTTGACTAGACTTAATGTCAAGGGGAAACCTTAACCTTTTATGACCTGTTGGTTATCTCCAAAGAGTTTAAAGGTACCCCTTGTATGTGTGGCATGAAAACCTCATTCTAGGTCTTGATTTGTTAGCTTTAGACCAGGGTTCTATAGCATGCATTCATTTCTTTCAGGATCCTGCTTAGACTTGTGTTTGGGGAGGATTTTGTGTGTGTGTGTCTTAACAAGTGATTTCAGTAAAGTTGTTAGAGTGGCATACAAGGAAATAGTTCAGATGTCAACATAAAACCACAATAAATTGATAAATGCCAATTGGAATAATGTTTTGTGGGGCTGGAGTGCAGAGAAATACAGAATTGGCAACATACACAATATAACAGAAGGAGTAAACCAGGCATGGGCAAACTTGGGCTCTCCAGGTGTTTGGACTTCAAATACCACAATTTCTGGCAGCCAATAGGAAACCCTAATTCTGCTCTGTAAGGCCAGGACAAATGGAAGTGTCTTTCTCTGGAATCAAAGAGTGAAAGGAATTATGCAATGGAGGGCAATCCCTAGTTTGAAACCAATGAAGTAAACTAAAAGAAAATGTCAGGGATGTGTAATTGATATGTCCATATCTCATTTGCTTTTTTATATCCTCCAGCATCTGGTGACCTTTTCAATTGGGGAAGAAGATGATCTGGCATCTGTAGAGGATGCTACCAGGAAACTGTCCGTCATGGATGCCCAAGGGAAGATCTGGGTTCAGGAGATGTTACTTCAAGTCAATGGGTCGGCCATCAAGCTCTTCGACATAGACTCAAAGGTGAAGGAGCAACCAAGGAGTATGATGTTGGAGTCTAACATGGTTAAACACTTCTGTAGAGCTTGGAAGGGGAAAAGTCACAAGTAACAGAGTTCGCTACAAGTAGTTATGTTTTGGAGTGTAGCAAAGATATCATTGTGATGGCACACCCAAGCCATTGGGGAAAATCTATAGTGTCTGGCTTTACTCGAGGGCTATCTGTATACCTTCTGTTAAGATTGAGACTCTTAACACAGAGAGGCACTTTAAGCAAGGTGAAAAAATAACCAAACTGAGTTTACTGAAAACAAGATGAATGAAGGGTTAATTCCACCCGGGACTATTATAAGGTAACTTAAATCAGTACATTACAAAAGGAGCCTTTGCTGGCTGCAGTCATCTCTCTGGAGTCTTCTGCCTCTGGTGCAAAGCAATAGTTCACAAGCTGGTGCTTATAAGCTGTCCCAATCTTCTTTCTTGTGAAGCTTAAGCTGGTCAAAAGCTTATGCTGTCACTGGGACTGTTGGTATAAGAATACTGCTGAATACAGGTGCTAAGGATGTCTGTTTTTTGGATTGCTTGGGCCTAGGGTTACCAGACAATACACAAGCCACTATTCTCTGTAGCTCTGCTGCAGAAAAAGAAGGAGTCCAGCAAGGGAGCTCTATACAGGCAAATGAAACAGATCAACTAAGGCTGGCCTCTGGGGGTTTTTAGGCTCCACCCAAAAACAAATACAAAGGAAGGTATCTACACTTTTTGGAAAACCTATAAACAGGGAGAAGTAAAGCAGAGGAGAGGAAAAGGCAGAGCTAAGATTTCACAATACTGAAGTTGATATTGAGCTGTTTTTGGTAGGGTCTCCCGGCGGAGGAGATCCCTGAGGACTGCTCAAAAGGGCCCTGGACCTTTGGTGAGGCCAGCGAGAGCCAATCCAAAGAGTAAAAAATATTACAAATAATAATGCCTCATCAAAGTGGAAAAAGTTTTTCAGCAATCGAGGTTTATTTGTGATTCAGCTGAGATCAGATGCATTGCAGGAATCATTCCGCTGCAAGCATAATTTTACAGAATTTCCAAGCATTTTTATAGTACACAGACAAAGGAAAACAGTTTCAAAAATCCCGCCCGCCCTCTGCCGGCTGGCTTTGCTCTGATTGGCTGGCCGCGGAACAGCTGGGAGGAGGCTTGGCGGCACGCCCCGCCTCCTGACCAATCAGCGGGCTCCGCCACCTCTAGGGGGCCAATCAGCGCCTTCCTGGTGCCTTTGAAGATGGACCAATCGGCAGCCAGGAGGCGGGACGAAGCCTGACAAAGACTGAGGAAATGACAGCCTTTGGGGCATCTGTGTGGCTTTGTTTTCTACACGGCGGGGTGTTAGATAGGAGAACAATGAGTTTCCTGGTCTGTGATGGGATTTGGGAGGAAGTATGGAAAGAAGCTTTCGGTGGCATTTGGACCTCAAAAGGGGGATCAACAAAATACCTAAAAATGATACAATCAGTCTTTTCTTCCTGAGTTTCTGTTGACTTCCCCTCCCCTACTGTCTGCTCTGAAAGTCAGGGTCGGGAAGAAATCAACAGCATGGCCCATGCAAATGTAAATATGAACAGTTTCGGGAGGACAAAGGATTTCCTCCTCAATACAGTAATCCCCAGGTCACATTCCTTTTGGGGCAAGGGTCAGAGGGAGAGGCGGGAAAGGGGAATCAGAGTACATTCTACATGATATTTCATTACATACATACATTTCATATACTTCATATATATATTTCATAAGGCAATCCCATCCCCATCCCAAGCAAAGTTTATTACAATATTGGATCTTTATTATAACGCAAACTGGAGATCTCATAGTCCTTTGGCAAAGGTGCGTGGAAACGGAGGCTGCTTGCATTTCAAGGCAAGCACCAGAAGGAAGTTCGTGGCCAGGGATGTGGCAAACAGTTCAGTTCATGAAGCAGAGAGTCAATAAGAAAAGGCAGAAGTCCAGTGATGGGCGCTGGGTTGGGTAGTAGCAGAGTCCATAGTCCAGTGCATAAGTCAGAGAGTTCACAAAGAGGAAACAGGAACCCAGTTATGTGCGCTGGGTCAGGAAGCAACAGAATCCATTGTCCGGCCCTTGGCAAACTAGATCTTCCGAGCTGAGGCCTGGGGGCTGGCCTAGCCGCTTCTCCGGGTCCTCCTGTGGGTGCCCACAGCAAGCCCCTGATGGCAGGGCACGAGCGGGAACGAGTGGTAGCAAGGGAATAACAGGCTGCTTTCACCGAGCCAGCAGAGTTTTGGCAATCAGCTGTTTGCTGTCTAATAATAATACTTTAAACAAAACGATTATTCCCCGAGCGCAGGAGCCCAAAATGGGGAAAGCGAGATAGCAGTTAGTCTTAGAATTAATAGCAGAAAAATACAAAATTAGAACGGCGCTGATCCGCCATATTACTGTTTTAGTGGTTACTGGGGTCCAAAATGGCGGTTTCAGTATCCGCGAATTGGGCGAACACAGATCCAGGGTCCGGGGGGGTGCCTGGAGGCACCTCCCCGCAGGCTCACGGCTCTCCGGAGCCTGGAAAAAGGGTTATTTTAATGTTGAATTAGTCTGAGGCAGGAAAGATACAAAAGTATCAAGCGGAAAGATTAAATGTTGCAAGTTTCAAGTGCTTTATTAGGGGAATGTTACAATGTAGAGGGAAGGGGAAGCAAGGAGAGACTGCAGGCATTCCTGGTTTTGAGCCAGCTGCTGGGGCACACTTCATCTGTTGATCCCAAAAACTTGGTCCAGGAACTGCGGAACTCTCCGCTGCGGTTCATATCAATGTGAAGTTACATTTCACACATAAGACAACAAGGAAGAGTAAAATTATATTTCTGGTGACATTAATAGCAATTGCTAATTGCTTTTTAAGAGCAGGTGAGGAAATTTGACAGGAATCTAAAAAGTATATCTTAACGGGGGGGGGAAGGGGGGTCATTCAAAGGGAGAAAAAAGTAACAAAACTAGCAACAAATTTCAAGTTATTTTGTCAACATAGCAAGGAATGAAGATTACAGATAATTTCAGAACAAATCCTGAAATGTAACTCCCAGACTTGGTCCTTGTGTTGCAATAGCTCTTCTGTAGAGAAGGATGCATACTGGTTTTCTGGGGTGGCGTATCATTGGGTGACTTTGTCTTCCCTTATAGGAAGAACTGGAAAACTATGGATTGGCAGCTGTGGCTCGTTGCGAGGCTGTGAGACCCGAGTCCCGTTCCCAGTCCTTGCTTCTGCTTGTGTGCCAGGATCCTACTCAGCTGAAACCTGATGTTCACTTCTTCGAATGCAACCTTGTTGGGGTAAGGACATTTAGTGGTACACTTTTGGAAATGACTGTGTGGTGACATCTTGTTCCACATACTGTAAATTGCAATACACTTATCTAAAGGGGCCTCTGGTGGCACAGTGGGTTAAAGCACTGAGCTGTTGAACTTGCTGACCGAAAGTCTGTCAGTTCAAATCCGGGGAGTAAGGTGAACTCCCGCTGTTAATCCCAGCTCCTGCCAACCTAGCAGTTCAAAAACATGCTAGTGTGAGTAGATCAATAGGTACTGCTTCTGTGGGAAGGTAATGGCGCTCCATGCAGTCATGCCAGCCACATTACCTTGGAGGTGTCTATGGACAACAGCTTAGAAATGGAGATGAGCATCACCAAAAAGAGTCAGATATGACTAGACAATGTCAGGGGAAACCTTTACCTTTTCCTACCTAAAGCATGTATTCTTTGAGGTTTGAGGTAGTAGAAGAGTTATGTCCACTTTGACTGAGCTTTCAATCTGATTTCGCTTTCACTTTTCCAGGCAGAATTGATCCGACAGGACATTAACAGTGCTTTGCAGGACTTCAAGTCAGGGGGAAATACCCAACGGAAGGAGGCACTCAGGTGAATAAAGATCCATACACCTTACTCACAAGCAACAAATACTCATATCCTGATGTATGTCTGATCTAAGCAAGAGTAAGGTGGAGATGATTTGGGCGTAGTGCTGGTTTCATCCCTGAAGCTGGACGCTCAAGTTTTGGCATTGACAGCAAGTGTGCATTTGCACAGTTTAAACTAGTGCATCATCTGTGGCTATTCTTAGAGTTGTCTGATCTGACCACAGTGACACACCACTTACTTGCATCCTGTTTAAAATGCTGGGATGTGCTCTTTATGGATCTATCTTGAAAAGTATTTGGAAACTTCGTACGTTTCAAATATTTCAGGGCCAGGTGCAAGGAGGTTGTGAGTCACTCTTTACAACAGTTTTGCTCTCTACTGATCTGTTTACAGACATAATTCAATGCTGGTTCTGCCTGTCAACGTTAACGGACTGGATGAGGGCTAATAAGTTGAGGAGAAATCCAGACAAAACAGAGATCAGTCAGAAGGTGGACCAGGGTGTGGGGTTACAGCCTGTGTTGGAGGAGGTCACACTCCCTTTGAAGACACAGGTTTGCAGTCTGTGGGTGATACTGGATTTATTGCTGACACTATAATCCCAGGTATCAGGGTGGTCAGGAGCACCTTTGCACAATTAAAACTTGTGTGCCAGCCGTGCCCATACTTTGAGACACCAGATTTAGTCCATGCCTTAGTCACATCCCATCTGGACCACTGCAACACTCTCTACGTGGGGTTGCCTTTGAAGATCGTTTGGAAGCTTCAACTGGCACAGAGATCGGCAGCCAGATTACTAACTGGAGCGCCATACAGGGAGTGCACAACTCCTATGTTATGGCAGCTCCACTGGCTGTCGGTTTTCTTCTGGGCTAAATACAAAGTGCTCTAAATGGTTTGGGTCCAAACTATTTGAAAAACCACATCTCCATGTGCAAACCGGCATGATGATGGGAATAATAATAATAATAATAATAATAATAATAATAATAATAATAATCTTTATTTATACCCCACCACCATCTCCCCAAAGGGAACTCGGGGCAGCTTACATGAGGCCAAGCCCAACAATACATTATAGTAAAATAAAACCAAAACAACAATATACACAGTATGATTAAATCAATAAAACATAAGAATACAATAAAAACAGCATAACCTAAATACAATCCCAAGGGCAGGCCACATGTACAAGTTAAAATGATAAAAGGATGAGACAGGGATGAAAAAGAAGTAGTAGACAGAGTAGTGGAGACAGGCCTTCAAACAGGGAGGGGAAAGTGCAATATAAAGTGCAATATGAGAACAAACCTTATGGGAGGAACAACAAAAGGGAATATCATATCACTCAGGCAATGAGTTCCAGAGTCGGGGGGCCACAGCAGAGTGTTGCTTTCGGCAGAGGAGGCCCTCCTCTCAGTTCCACCCCTGTCCTAAATACGGCTGGTGGGAACGAGAGAAAGGGCCTTCTCTGTGATCATTCCCCGGCTCTGGAACCCCCTTCCCAAAGAATTAAAAATGGCCCCCTATCTCCTCTCCTTTAAAAAGCTTTAAAAACATATCTATGCACGTTAGCTTATGGAGAGAAGGAGGACTAATTACACCTTATACATACCCCATCTTGTTTTGTTGAACATCTACCTTTGTTAATCTGCTGTATACCATCTTAGCTTCAATAATATTAGCTGGATTTTAAGAGTTTAAAATGATCAAATACAGGCATGGGCAAACTAAGGCCCAGGGGCAGGATGCAGCCCCCTGGGCGCTGATCTCAGGCCCTCCTTATTTTCCCTGTCCTTTCAGCATAAGGAGACGGTGGCCCACCACATCCTTACGCAGAAAGGACGGGAGAGGAAGGCACACCGCAGCTGAGAGTCCCCTGGAGTGCTCTCAGTCACCTCATATCTCATCCTCCTCCCAGCATATGGACGATGCAAGCAGCCCCATCCTTATGCTGAGAGGACAGCCTGAGGAAGGCATGCTGTAGCTGAGAGCCCTCCAGAGCCCTGAATCTCCTGTCTCATCCTCCTCCTGGCATAATACTGAGAGGACAGCCTGAAGATCAGGGAAAGAGGATCAGGGAGGAGGATCAGGGCAGTCACCACATTTCTCATTTTGCTCCTGGCATAACGATGGGGTGAGCAACTCCGTTCTTATGCCAGGAGGACAACCTGAGGATGACCTGGGCCCTGCCCTAGGTCCCAGCCCACCCTCTCACATGCCCTGGACCGGCTCTCGGTCAGACCCAGAGTGTGGCCCCAAAGCAAAAAAGTGTGCCCATGCCTAATCTATTAAAAATGTGATTGCATTATGTCTTGTTTATTTAAGCTGTTTTTGATTTGTTATTTGTACCTTCAGCATTGAATGTTCGCCAATATGTTTCACTTTGCTGTAAGCCGCTCTGAGTCCCTTCGGGGAGATAGGGCAGGCTATAAATAAAGTATTTATTATTAATAATTATTAGAAAGCCCTAGGCAGCTTGGGGCTAGTATACCTGAAGGGCCGTATTCTCTCAGTTGAACCCAATCAAGCTTTAAGATTTGTAGAGGAAGACTTCCTCTTGTTCTGCTTCCCTCGGAGGACTCATTCAATGGTTTGCAAGCAACCTGACTTGTATGCATTATGCTGAACAGATTTTCCCATTACTTTTTTCGTCCCTGTGCCAAAAAGAAAGCCTTACTTGCTGCGTTTCTCCCTGGCAGACTGCTCTTAAAGGCATGGAAATAAAAATGTAAAAAAACCAACATTATTCTATTGCCTGGCTGAATAGAGTACACTGTACGCCAGGGTCACAGAACATAGGAAAACCCTTCCCCCTTTATCTCAACCACTTGCTTCATCTCTCATCTACAGAGATACCCAGAAGTGGATTGGCAAGCAGACCCAAAATGCACAGGTGACTGCTGTTCAGCCTCCCAAACAGGTGTCTTCCAGGACAAAGGTCATTGCACCAGAGCAAAAAGACAATGGTGAGAATGTGGCTCTCAATCCAAAATTGCTACTCCTGTATGTGTACACTGCCAAAAAGGTATATTTGGGGTGAGGAGAGGGTTTTCTCACCCACTAATCATATGATTTATAGCAGACATGGGCAAATTTCAGCCCTCCAGGTGTTTTGGACTTCAGCTTCCACAATTCCTAACAGCCAGTAGGCTGTTAGGAATTATGGGAGTTGTAGTCCAGAACACTTGGAAGGCCGAAGTTTGCCCATGCCTGATTTAATAGAATCATAGAATCAGAGAGCTGGAAGAGGCCTTGTGGGCCATCCAGTCCAATCCCCTGCCAAGAAGCAGGAAAATCACATTCAGAGCACTCCCAACAGATGGCCATCCAGCCTCTGTTTAAAAGCCTCCAAAGAAGGAGCCTCCACCACACTCCGGGCCAGAGAGTTCCACTGCTGAACAGCCCTCACGGTCAGAAAGTTCTTCCTTATGTTCAAGTGGAATCTCCTTTCCTGTAGTTTGATGCCATTGTTCCACGTCCTACTCTCCAGGGCAGCAGAAAACAAGCTTGCTCCCTCCTCCCTATGACTTCCCCTCACATCTTGATACATGGCCTTCATCGTGTCTCCTATCAGCCTTCTCTTCTTCATGCTAAACATGCCTAGCTCTTTAAGCCACTCCTCATAGGTCTTGTTCTCTAGACCCGTGATCATTTTAGTTGCCCTTCTCTGGACACATTCTAGCTTGTCAACATCTCCTCCCTTCAATTGCGGTGGCCAGAATTGAACACAGTATTCCAGGTGTGGTCTGACCAAGGCAGAATAGAGGGGTATGTATGTAACATGACTTCCCTGGATCTAGACACTAGACTCCTATTTATGCAATAGGCAGATATTTCCTAGGGCCAGTCCTTGACATCCCGAGTTAAACTTTTCTCATGTTGAAGATGCCTGCTTGTCAATAGACAATCTTGGCCTGGATTAGTAGTGTCTTATATATACTGAAAATGGCAAGATTTATATCTTCAGCAATTTCAGCAAGGCCAACCTCAGAGAAAATCTGTATGGATTCATACTGTTCCTCTCTGTCTCTCATCGATCTTGTTAAGAATAATGGAATAATCTGACTTCTCAGGGGCCTTTTCACATTTCAGTATTATAGTGCTATGATTCCTCTTCCGGTAACGTAACTATATCCTATGAAATCCTTGGATTTGCAGTTTAGAAAAGAGTGTTTAGAATTCCACTGTCTCATCAGAATCTCAGTATTCCATGCAGCTGTATATAATCCACATTGAATTAGATTATATGTTAGTGTGGATTCATATAATCCAATTCAAGCAGATATTGTGTATTATCTGCCTTGATATTCCGCGTTATATGGCTGAGTGGAAGGGCCCATAGTTAGTGAAAATGCTGCCATATAAAATCCCAATTATCTGCTTTGAACTTGATTATATGGCAGTGTAGACAGTTCAAAACAGATAATGTGGATTATCTGATATGATAATCTGGATTAAATGGCAGTATAAAGGAGGTGCGAGAGATTCTTTACAATTTTCCAATCAGCAACATTTATGTCACATATTTCTTCTGGTCCTTTCACTCACTGTACTTGTAAGTGAAACAATACAAACTTCATTTTTAACTCTTGCTCCATGTAACAAAAGGGGAGAGAAGGGCTGGATACATAGTGGATGAGCATTTTCTAGTAGCCACTGTATTAAAAGAGAGACCCTGGGTTGTAGTCTGTCAACTGTATCCAAATCTCTTTACTCTATTGTCTTACAGATCTCATGGCAGGAGAAACTGACCCATCCGTCATCCGTGCTGAGAGAGATGTGGTGAGTTAGCTGGAAAGGCATGAAAAATGGGATTAGATTGATGGAGGATATGTGTAATCACCAAGCAGAAGGATTTATGCATTGCCTTATATCTCATTTGATCCTATCAAGTAGGATTGCCCATCTTTCGTCCTAGTACATGCCTAGTTACTTTTAGCAGATGTAATCCCCCCCCCCCCGGTGGTGCAGCAGATTAAACCACTGAGCTGCTGAACTTGCTGACCGAAAGGTTGCAGTTCAAATCCAGGGAGTGGAGTGAGCTTCTACTGTTAGGTCCAGCTTCTGCCAACGTAGCAGTTTGAAAACAAAATAAATGTGAGAAGATCAATAGGTACTGCTTCTGCTGGCCACATGACCTTTGAGGCATCTACGGACAACACTGGCTCTTTGGCTTAGAAATTGAGATGAGCACCACCCCTCAGAGTTGGAATCAATTAGACTTAATGTCAAGGGGAAACCTTTACCTAAGTAGCAAAGCAGTGATGAGGAGGGTTCATCTGTATTGTATTTCTCCTTGTTGCACAACTGTGGAAGACACAGAATCTGTGTAGCACTGTGGTCTATCAGGATCTCTTTCTCTTTATATATATTTTACTCTAACTTAGGTACTTAGTGATGCCCAGGTTAGGGAATTTGGAAGGATTTGGAAAGATAAGCATAAGAATTATTCATGGTTAGATTTTGGATTTTAAGAATGGTCTCACTAGAAAATTCTCAACATTCTGGGTCAACTCTCCCCTGTCCCAACTCCTCCTGTATTTAAAGTTGGTCATGGTTGGTATGTTGGCCAAGCTTGGTCCACACTCATCCTTGGCGGGGGTCACAAAGCTCTTTGGATGTTGGTGACTGCAATTCCCATCATCCTCTGTCATTGCTCTGCCATGATGGATCTGTGCACCAGGTTTGGTTCAGATCTGTCATTGATGAGATTCATAGGACTCTCTGCAGCTCCCATAATCTCAGGTCAGTCCCCTTAATCACCATTGGTATTTTCTGCTAGTCATGTGCCAAGCTTTATCCAGCTCCAGTGGGAGTCACAGAACTTTCTGGATGTGGTGGAACCACAGCTCTCATAATCTTGGGTCCATCACCCTCAATCACCACCAGTAATTTCTGTTGGTCATGGCAGGGTCTATGTGCCAACTTTGGTTCAGATCCATCATCAGTGCTCTCTGGATGTGAAGAGAGTGCAACTCCCATCATCTCAGGTCCGTCCCCTCAAATGCCTCCAATATTTTTTGTTCATCATGGGGGTTCTTTGTGCCAATTTTGGTCCAGATCTCTCACCTGTGGGGGTCACAGTCATCTCTGGATGTGGGTGTACTGTAACTCCCGTCATCTTGCGTCCACACTCTCTCATCCTTAGAGAAAGGCATTGCCAAACCCCTTCTGAACAAATCTTGCAACAGCAACAAAAATCCCTGTCATAGGGTTGCCTTGCTTCACCATAGATTGGAAATGTCTTGGAGGAACACAACAACAAATGGGAAATACAATTTTACGCAAAATAAATGTATTGCATAAATAGATTTGAACCCCAGCACTTTTTGTTTTAGACTAGTGGTTCTCAACCTGTGGTTCCCCAGGTGTTTCGACCTACAAGCCCCAGAAATCCCAGTCAGTTTTCCAGCTGTTAGGATTTCTGGGAGTTGAAGGTCAAAACATCTGGAGACCCACAGGTTGAGAACCACTGTTTTAGAAAGCGAGGGCACAATACTGTACTTGCATAACTAAAACTCAGTGAATCTTTCTTTTCAGCAGACATGTAAGAATTGTACAATAACTCTGCTGTGCGGTGAACCCCTTTTACCTGAATGTTCTCTTTTTTTTTCTATCTTTTGTATCTCTGGATGAAAGGAGCTGTTGAACCGGGTTTTTGATGATGTGGAAGCCTTTGTCGGGAAACTGCAGAAGTCTGCTGAAGCATTCCGTGTATTGGATCAACGCAAACGTTCTGCCAGGGGCCGTCGGCGAGAGCCAGGAGGTGAGAGTGAGATGCAGCCCTCTAAGGTCCTGAATCTCCGGTCTTTGTGGATCATATCCACGCAGGAGACAAGGCTGCAGTTTCTCCAGTTTGGAGGGCTGTGCTCCAAAGAAGAGGGAAGGGTTATGTGCAAATCTTCAATTCAACTAGAAAAATAGTTGCTGCAATTTTCAAAGCTTAATTGGATTGTTGTTGCAATTCAAAAAACTCTCCAGTGGGGTCTATGTATTTATTTCATTTTTTCTTTCCTCCCACTCATTATAGTTCCAGGAGCCCCAATGGGTTAAACTCTTGTGCCAGCAAGGTGGCTGACCAACAAGTCAGTGGTTAGAATCCGGGGAGAGTGGGTGGAGCTTCCTCTGTCAGCTCCAGCTCCCCATGCAGGACTCAAGAGAAGCCTCCCACAAGGATGGTAAAACATCAAAACATCCAGGAGTCCCCTGGGCAATGTCCTTGCAGATGGCCAATTCTCTCACACCAGATGCAACTTGCAGTTTCTCAAGTCACTCATGACATTGAATTTTTTTATAGCTGTTCTCCATCCACCTCCCAACTAGAAGCAGTAGGCTAAATTAAATGTTCTGTATGCTGTTTCCCTAAATAAGTTAGAAGGAATAACACCATGTAACAAAATTTGAAAAGAATATGTTATTGGTTTGAAAGTGTTATTTCCTATTTAATTGCATGACTCTTACTTTGCAAGTACTTGTTACGCTCCATAAACTTTGTTTTTGTGACTGAGGGTGACACTATTTCCTTCAGCCTTGGCACTTCATTTATAATTTTCTTTAATGAATGTGCAGATGACAAAAACAAAGTTTTCTCAGTTAATAAACTTTCCCCATTTTTTAATGATAGAACCAATTAGGAAATGACATTTATAACCCAGGAACAAAAGTTGTGTAATCATCCAATTTCCTGGGACATCCTTTATAGTTAAGATTTCTGTTATAATTTTCTAACAGGAAAATAGATTGTCCCCCTTCATCTCTTTGTGTGTGTGCTTGAATGGCAAGCTGTGACTCACTGTGTTAATACATAACACTAATAATAGTTTGGTTGCATGCTGCAAGTCCCATCTGGTCACTTCTAGAGTGAGAGAATCAGTCATCTACAAAGACGTTGCCCAGGGCGTCTTGCAATCTTGCGGGAAGGCTTCTCTCATCTCCTCCTGGGCACACAGAAGACTAGGTGATTTAGAAGGCGCTGAACAGACTACGCTCTGGCACCATGAGATGCAGAGCCAACCTTAAGAAATGGGGCTACAAAGTGGAGTCCACGACATGCGAGTGTGAAGAAGAGCAAACCACAGACCACCTATTACAATGCAACCTGAGCCCTGCCACATGCACAGTGGAGAACCTTCTTATAGCAACACCAGAGCACTCCAAGTGGCCAGTTTCTGGTCAAAGGACATTTAATAGAATGCCAAGTTTGCAAACTTTGTAGGGTTTTTTGTTTTGTTGTTTTTAAATACAATACAACTCACCTCACTACCTCTGAGGATGCTTGCCATACATGCAGGCAAAACGTCAGGAGAGAATGCCTCTAGAGCATGGCCATATAGCCCGAAAAACCTACAACAACCCTACAATACAACTGTTTGGTTCGCTCCCAATACGATAAATAAAACAAAACTAATAGTAGTAGTAGTAGTAGTAATACTTTATTTATACTCCGCCCTTCTCCCCAGTATAAACAGATACCGGCAAATATTCAGTGCCTTGTTACAATACAATGAGAGACACAAACACAAACAAAGGCAAAGGCATCTTCTTTCATTTCTGGCTTTTGGAGATGGTGCTCATCTCTGGCTCTGGGGGAGGTGCTGTTCTCCATTTCCAAGCCGAGGAGCCTGCATTGTCACCTCATGTGACTGGCACGACAGCTTGGAGTGTTTTTCCCTTTCCAGCCGAAGCAATAACTGTTTATCTTCTCACGTTTGGTCTGCTCGATTGGTAGGAGCTAACAGTGGGAGCTCACCCCATCCCACAGATTCAAACTGTCAACCTTCAGGTCAGCAGTTCAGCAGTACAAGGGTTTAATCCGTTGCACCACCGTGACCCCTAATGACATTATCAGAAGCTTTTCATACATCTCAGGTTTTGGCCCAGAAAAGTGGGTGCAAAATAGAGAAAAGCATCGAATGATAGATTATTAATCAATTAATCAGTTCAGGGCAGCTGGAGAGTATGACAGACGATTGTGTGGACAGTTGCTGAACTAGAAACTTTCAAAACGAACAGGAGAAGAGTTTCTGTGATCCATAACGGATGTCAAACTAGGAGGTCAGGCACAGCAGCCTGTTGCAAAAAATCCTTTGTAAGGTATAAGACTGAGCATGACACATTTGTCTGTCTTTGCTGTATCTACAGAGGGACTCCTGACAATCCGAGCTCGCCCTCCATCCCAAGAAGAGTTTGAAGATGCTCTGGCTAAAATCAAATATTCTTTCAGCATTCTGGTGAGCTTTGTTGAGTGTTCTTTTCTCCCAAGAGAGCGGATGCTTGCTGGCAGGGCTGATGCTAATTGTTTGTGCTTTTATTCTCACCATCTAGGCAAGACTGCAGTCTAACATCACAAACCCTACCTCAGAGGAGCTGATTCATTTTCTCTTCAATCCCTTGAAGATGGTATGTCCTGCTTCAAGTGAGGGATGTGGGGGAGAAGGTGTAGTGCAGATGTTTTTGGCCTACAACTCCCAGAAATCCCAGCTAGTTTACCAGCTGTTAGGATTTCTGGGAGTTGTAGGCCAAAAACATCTGGGTTGAGAACCACTGGTGTAGTGGTTGCTGAGCAGTACCAATTACTGTAGATGGCAGGTATGTGACTGAAGCCCATATGGGGAAAAAGAGTCCTCGCACATAAATAAGGAATGTGTTCAAGGGATGGTTAGCCTAGAACATATATTCTTGACAAGCTAGATTTCTATGCGCAGTGAGCAGTATACCAGCAGCGAGCTTGTACTTCTCAAGCACCAATTGTATGATTCACTCTAATGGAGAACAGTGTGGTACAAACCATTGTGTCAGGTGATTCTGTGGCATGGGTAGAGTAACTCCTAACGTTAAGAGAAAATGCAGATTTCATAGAATCATAGAGTTAGATGGTGCCCTGTGGATCATCGGGTACAACCAACAGCTCAATGCAAGATCTCCAGCTAGAGCTTCCCCAGCCGGTTTCTGTGGGAGAAAAACTGGAATCAGGAAAAGGGATTCTACCTAAACATTAGGAAGGCCTTCATGATAGTAATACCTATTCCACGCTGCCTTGGAATGCGGTGGAGTCTCCCTTCCATATATTATTAAATAGAGGCTGGGTGTCTTTCTGTTGTGCTTTGATTTGGGTTGGACTGGATGGCCTTTGGTCTCTTCCAACAGTATAATTCTATAATTTTGTCTATCTTGGGAAGCCACGTGTTCTATGTTCTGATTCTCATAACCTGCTTCAGATTGTAGAGTCTTCTGGGGGACCAGAATTTGCTTCTGAGGTGCGCAGTCCCATGTTGACCCTGGAGGCAGTCACACTGATGCGCAGCTGCCTAGGGGAAAAGGAAGCCGAGTTGTGGCATTCACTGGGAGACAACTGGATCAGGCCAAGGTAAGAGATAGGGAGATGAGACTTGTCTGCTCTTGGGTGACTGTGTGTTCCTCCTCAAATGCTCAGATGGTTCAGGTGAACTAGAGAGTGTGTTTTACAGTGACATTCAGTGACATCCAGTGGCTTACATGTCAGTTTGGTGTCAGATTCATCAAGCTTTTAGTCCAGTAGGTAAAACAGCTGGACTTACCACTTTGGATAGCTTTTGCCAACATGGGACCACCAGCTGCTACAAGCTTTTTTTTTTTTGGGGGGGGGGGAATATGTATCTCCATAACCATTTGGGAAATGGGATTCATCACGTTTTTGAAAAACCACTGGTCACAGGAAAGGTATGACCGTGTTAGAAGTGACAACCTGTCGAAAAATGATGTTCACCAGCATTCTTGAAAGGTGACTAGGTCTCTCAGCTGTTAAACTGATGTACTTAGGTCTTTGAACTGTCAGGGACAAAGAGATGCCTTTGCACAAAAACATATATTTATTCAGCAGAGTTTCAGAAGTGTTCTTTTAGTTGCTCAAAAAAATCTATTCTCTCTTAAAATATATTTGTTAAGTAAGAGCCTATGATACTTTTATATGTATTATTTAAATAGAAGACTGTGACTCCTTAAAGAAAATATATTATCTGAGAAATGACCGTGGAACACTAATAGCTGGAAAGTATTGTACTGTACACAACAAACACTTACAAATTTATGTCTATTTAAATAAATAAAAATTAAAGTGTGCGCGCATGTGTGTGTGTGTGTGTGTGTGTGTATATATATATATATATAGATAGATAGATAGATAGATAGATAGATATATCTATATCTAGATATAGATATATAGCCTTTAATCATGCTCTCAAGAGACAAAATAAGTTTTATTTAAAAGAGTTTACTTCACCTATACAGCATACAGGCACTTTGCTATGAATCCAGTTATAATAGGATTTTGAGTAGTTTCTCTATGTAGGTAACACAGGGCATCTTCCATAGATTCAATAGTCCATAGTCCAAAGCATAAGTGTATGATTTCTAAGCATACAGATGGCTTCTACTCTCTTTAACAGTCTAATGGCTTCTATCTCTACTGAAGTCTAAATGGAGTCTCAGGTCCTTAACATGTCCAGAGCTGGGTTGTTGTAGGTTTTTCGGGCTATATGGCCATGATCTAGAGGCATTTTCTCCTGATGTTTCACCTGCATCTATGGCAAGCATCCTCAGAGGTAGTGAGGTCTGTTGGAAGTAGGAAAACTCTGTTTTGCCCAACTTTTCCTACTTCCAACAGACCTCACTACCTCTGGGGTTGCTTGCCATAGATGCAGGCAAAACGTCAGGAGAAAATGCCTCTAGACCATGGCCATATAGCCCGAAAAACCTACAACAACCCAGTGATTCCGACCATGAAAGCCTTCGACAATACAATGTCCAGAGCCAATCACATGGCCTGCAGCCCCTCCCACAACAAAGAGTTAGGTAAAATTGCAAACCAATACACACATACAATACAGTAAACAATTATATACACAACAAACAACTAGTAGAGGCTTGAGAAGGTTGCTATTTCCAACACATTTTACCAGCTTGACAGAGATCAGTTGAATAGTTTTGGCAGCTCTAATCAGACACAGATGGAACTTGTTTTTTCTATGATTGAAGATTCCATAGTTTCACCTCTGTATTCCCATTTTTAATTGCTTTCCTCCTGTTCCTTCTCCTCTGTTTTGCCCACCTCCTCCCAGACTGGACTTCCCCAGGGACTATGCTGCTCCCTACAACCCAACTTTCCGAAGTGGCTGGGAGCCCCCACGCCTGGACCCTTCTGGGCAGCCGTGGGAAGATCCAGTAGAGATGCAACACCGGCACGAAGAACGTCGTGCTCAGGTGAGCAATAGTCTACAAAACCAGTAAAATGAATGGATCCCAAACACAGTTCTATGGCAGGAAAACTTGTGTACAAAAGTGCTGTTTTTCTTGGGATGAGGATAGTAGTGCTCCATTCAAATCCTTACCAGGACTGACTAATACTACCGTACAAATAAGAATGCTATATGCACAACATTGGAAAAAGACAGCTACACCAATAACAGAAGAATGGATCATAGAGGTCTTCAAATTAGCAGCATTGACAAACTTACATAGATTTTTAGAGAATAATCTCAGTTAGACACAGAAGTATTGGCTGAGCATTTTGAGTCACTCAGAAGCAGGGGGAAAATCACCTTGATTCTATCCTATATAATATGACTAGCTAGATTAACCTAGTTAGAGACACAACCTAGGAAGGTATACATTATGTATGTATTGAGAAGATATGCCTCCTACACAAGGAATGGGAGGTAAATAGGGAAGTTTAAAGACATGGATCAATGCATTTTATTTTGTATTTATTGTATTTTTTCAGGGCAAAAGTGAAATATTTGTAATGGAATTGTAACTAGATTTTTAAAACGAATTCAAAAATAATCAGGGCTATAATTTGTGGTGTGAAAGGGTCCTATGACATAGCGCTAATAAATTCAAAGAGGTAACAGAGGAAGATACTTTCTTTAGTGAGATGTTGGACTCACTGCAATGGTTGGGATTTCTTGGAATTTCACTCCTTCTCTTTTCTTCCCCTTCTTTTTTTACAGCAATCAGCTGTCACAATTGCAGCCAATGGGTAAGTCTTCTCTAACCTTTCCAACACTTGATAAGCGTTTGGGAGAATGTTCAGCTTGAGATATCTTGAAAAATGAATGGAGACATCTGGAGAAATGAAGGGATAGGAAAGTGAAGGGAAAAGGAGGAGAGATGAGGATGCAGTGGGATAGAATGGGATGACTAAGGCTAAGAGCTTGTGAGGTCTCCTATTTTTTATCTAGTCATTAAAATGTGTGGTGAAAGTTGACCATAGAGTAGGCATGGGCACACATGGGCTCTCTAGGTGATTTGGACTTCAACTCCCACAATTCCTAACAGCTGGAGGGCTGAAGTTTGCCCATGCCTGCCGTAGAGTCATACTGGATGATCTGTAGATTCCTAGAGACAATGTATTAAGCAAACCTTTGAATAATCATATCCACATATGTGGAAGACCAACTGCAGAAAGAATTCCCAACCCAAGCACTCTCTCCTTGAATCTGCATCATGTGCTTCTAAACCATTCCCTGTGACCTAGAGCAGTGGTTCTCAACCTTCCTAATCCCGTGACCCCTGAATACAGTTCCTCATGTCGTGGTGACACGCAGCCATAAAACTATTTTCGTTGCTACTTCATAAGTATAACTTTGGTACTGTTATGAATTGCAACGTAAATATCTGATATGCATGATGTATTTTATTCACTGGACCAAATTTGGCACAAATACCCTATATGCCCAAATTTGATATCGCTCCAGACTGCTAATTTGCAAACATTGACATACTTAACTTGTTGAGGGGAAATTATGACTTAGTATGTCTAAGCACTGCAGGCAATTTTTCATTTCGAAATTTCCTGATTCCATATCTTCCAAATCTCACATGCTAAGTCAATGGTTCTCAACCTTCCTAATGCAGCAGCCCCTTAATACAGTTTCTCATGTCGTGGTGACCCCCCAACCATAACATTATTTTCGTTGCTACTTCATAATTGTAATGTTGCTACTGTTATGAATCGTAATGTAAATTTCATTCACTGGACCAAATTTGGTACAAATACCCAACATACCCAAATTTGAATACAGGTGTTGGGAGCGGATTGATTTTGTCATTTGGGAGTCGTAGTTGCTGGGATTTATCGTTAACCTACAATTAAAGAGCATTCTGAACTCCACCAATGATGGAATTGAACTAAACTGGTACACAGAACTCCCATGACCAACAGAAAATACTGGAAGAGTTTGGTGGGCATTGACCTTGAGTTTTGGAGTTGTAGTTCACCTACATCCAGAGAACACGGGGACTCAAAGAATGATGGATCTGGACCAAACTTGGCACAGATATTCAATATGCCCAAATGTGGTGAAGGTTGGGGAAAATATATCTTGATATTTGGGAATTTGAGTTACTGGGAATTATAGTTCACCTTCAATCAAAGAGCATTCTGAACCCCACCAAAGATAGAAATTGGGCCAAACTTACCACACAGAATCACAATGTCCAACAGAAAATACTATGGTCTTTGGAGACCCCTCTGACACCCCCTCAAAACCTCCCCCCCCTCCAGGGATCCCGACCCCCAGGTTGAGAAACACTGTCCTAGAGAGTAGCAATGAGGAAAACAATAACCATAGGGGTTGCAATATTGAAGATCTTTCTGATGGTCAAACTTGGAGAGCAGGATGTGGTTTGGTTCAACTTTGTACATGCAAATATTGGGTGGTGTTTGTAAATATTCAAGGGACTTTCTCGGGTAGAGAATAGTCATGGGCATTTGTTCATGGGAAGCCTAAATAAATTCTGATTGCTTTTTTTCCACCTCCTTAAAGCTGTTTTCTTTTTCTCTCTGTCTTTCCGCACTGGGTGTTAGGTGGGTCAGGTGGTGAGCAGGAAGCTAGCTATATGGGCTCAATTGTGAAATAGTGTTGGGGTGGCTAAGGGTCTAGCTGGGGAAGGGTGGTGGTTTGCTTAAGACAACATTGCAGGTTGCTAGGGTGACTCAGAGGGTGAGAGCTTAGGGTAGGGGATGATTGGCTTTTCAGTGTACGCAAGGACTTCAAATTATTGTTCCATATCTAGATTTGTGGTAACTATGGGCAAGGAGTTTGCCTGACCACCATAACACATTCAGGAATAAAGTCACCTAAATAGGGAGTAGGATAGTTTCTAAAGAACCCCAAAGCAAACGTTTTACAAACACTATTCAATTTTGGGGGAAATACTCCTCCACATGCACACACACTTTTTAAATAATTGGGAAATAGTTTCAAGGTGGATTTAGATCTACCTAGGAGGAGATCTGAAGTGTAGTTTCCAGAGTGTGCTGAATTTTTCTGTAAATTTCATGGCACAGCTTCCTTGGCAATATCAAAAATAATTGCAAACTGAAATTAAATAATTTGGCACAATATATTCAAATCCCATTAATTCTTCTATAGTATTCCCTAGTAGAGTAGTTATCCCAGGCATAGGCAAACTTTGGCCCTCCAGGTGTTTTGGACTACAACTCCCACAATTCCTAACAGCCTACCGGCTGTTAGGAATTGTGGGAGTTGAAGTCCAAAACACCTGGAGGGCCAAAGTTTGCTCATGCCTGAATTACAACTTATCTTGGTGATGGGTCAAAGGGAAACTATTTCAAAGTTTCATAAACTATTTCAATGATCATGAGTTTCTCTCAACATAGTCCTATTAAAACCCAGTGGGTTAAAACCCTGTGCCGGCAGAACTGAAGACCGACAGGTCGCAGGTTCGAATCCAGGGAGAGGTGGATGAGCTCCCTCTATCCAGCTCCATCTCCTCATGCGGGGACATGAGAGAAGCCTCCCACAAGGATGATAAAACATCAAATCATCCGGGCATCCCCTGGGCAACGTCCTTGCAGACAGCCAATTCTCTCACACCAGAAGCGACTTGCAGTTTCGCAGGTTGCTCCTGACATGACTAAAAAAACATAGTCCTGAAAATTGTGGCATAATATGATCTGAGAATGTGTAGTGATCTCAAAGTACTGTTCCTGAGAACCAGCATGGTCTAGTGGGATTAGTATTGGGCCAGAGTTTGACTATCCCCCTGGCCATGAAACCCACTGGGGTTTTTTTTTCCATGCCAGGAGTGACTTGAGAAACTGCAAGTCACTTCTGGTTTGAGAAAATTCGCCATCTGCAAAGACGTTGCCCCTAGGACGCCCTGATGTTTTTGATGTTTACCATCCTTGTGGGAGGCTTCTCTTATGTCCCCGCATGGGGAGCTGGAGCTGACAGAGGAAGCTCAATCTGCTCTCCCCAGATTTGAACTGCTGACCTGTCAATCATCAGTCCTGCCAGCACAAGGGTTTGACCCATTGCACCACCGGGATCAATGTAGTGGGTGACCTTATAGTCACACTATCTCAGCCTTTGAAGAAGGCCCGGGAAAGCCAACCCTGAACAAACCTTGCCAAGAAAACCCCATGAAAGAGTAGCCAATGGCCATAACTCCAAAATGACTTGAAGGCACACAACAACAATAACTACAGATCCCATAATTTCCTAAGATAGGATAAGTCTATGAAACTGGTGTTTCAAATTCTTCAGTATCGATATTCCCACAATGATTTGCTCAAGCCTTTTGAACAATCAGTCCAACTCAGAGATGTCAATAACATTTGCCTTGAATAAAACAGACAAGCGGAATAGAGTCCGCTTCACCTTGCCCTACCTATACACGCCCAACATGAGGAAGTGGCTGACTACTGCTGCCTAGTATATCAAAGCAGAAAAAACGTTATTTCATAGTTCTTAAAATAAATTAATACCAGATGCCTCTTTTCTAGTTGAACTAGATATTCTGGAACCGAGGCGTATGTGGCCGGATATAGAAAACAGAGACTGCTTAAGATTCCTACGTATCGCTAAAACAATTGAGACTAGTGACCTCTCCATTTAAACAGGGTGGATTTATACAAGTATTTATGGTGTGGTGTTTACATAGAGATGTTATGCACATGTTTCAGTAATGTCTTAAGATTGTGGCTGTCCAGTTTCAGACATCTTTTAGAAAATGGGCTGAGCCACATCTGTGCTAAAAATAAAAACAGATTAGTTACACGATGGAAGCTGACCACCTCTCTACCGAGTATTTATTAAGTTGGGTTGCTGTGAGCTTTCTGGGTTGTATGGCCATGTTCCAGAAGCATTTTCTCCTGACGGTTCGCCCACAACTATGACAGGCTTCCTCAGAGGTTGTAAGGTCCGTTGGAAACTAGGGCTGTATGGCCATGTTCCAGAAGCATTTTCTCCTGACATTTCACCCACACCTATGACAGGCATCCTCAGAGGTTGTGAGGTCTGTTGGAAACTAGGCAAGTGGGGTTTATATATCTGTGGAATGTCCAGGATGGGAGAGGGAACTCTTGTCTGCAAGAATCAGCCCTTTGAAGCTGCAAGGCCATTTCAATGCTAATGGCCAATTGCAACATTCACACTTGCCTCAAGCAGACAAAAGTTCTTTCTCCCACCCTGGACATTCCACAGATATATAAACCTCACTTGCCTAATTTCCAACATACCTCACAACCTCTGAGGATGCCTACCAGAGATGTGGGAAAACATCAGGAGAGAATGCTTCTGGAACATGGCCATACAGCCCGGAAACCTCACAACAACCCAGTGATTCTGGCCATGAAAGCCTTCGACAACACATTTATTAAGCTATAGGGGATGCTCAGTAAACCCTGGGGTTTGTTTCCAGGGCTCGTTGTGGATATCAAATTTTGTGGATGCTCAAGTCCCATCTATATAAATAAAAATGTAATGTTCGTTTGTGGGATTAACATAACTCAAAAGCCACTGAGCAAATTGACACCAAATTTAGACACAATACACCCATCGGGCCAATGAGTGACCATCACTCATAAAAAGACTGAAAAACACAACGGAAGAGACTTAAAAAGCTTAAGCGGCTGAGGGGGAAAACGAAGGGGCCTGAGGCTGTTAGGAATTGTGGGAGTTGAAGTCCAAAACACCTGGAGGGCCAAAGTTTGCCCATGCCTTGGCTAAACAAACAAAACAACATTCCCAGCCATAACACAAAAGAGCACTATGAATTTCTCATCCTTTGGAGGCAAAAGTTGCCAGGAAACTAACTAAAGTCAGAATATGGTCAGTAGTACCCATATAGCAGAAGGCATGGGAAGGAAGAATCAGGAGACCTAGGTGTTCTAAGAAGATATGGGAAGATATGGGAGCGATAGAGTTTGGATGATCTTGAAAGGGTGTGGAGATTGTTAGGACTAAAAAGTGCAAAGAAGAGGCCAGGGACTAGGATTCACACAATTGATGGGTTGCAGCAGGTTTTTGGATGGGATTTAGAGGGCAGAAAGGGAACCAGACAGGACTGGGAATGTCCCAAAATGCAGGGAGCAAGTGGTGCAGGTCAGCTGCTGTGGTGATGGGAACAGAAAGGAGAGATAACAGGATGAAAACAAGAGGACAGCGGTTTAATGATGGCGCCGAGAAGAAAGCCGAGAGGGGGACACTAGGCAGCCAGCTAAGGTAGGACTGGGTGGGGGGATGGGATGACTTTCCTTCTTTTCCTTCTTTGTTTCTTCTGTCCTTCTCTGAACCCTTGGAAAAATGTGGGTCCCCTTTATGAAACTCCAGCTAGAAAAAGGAACATAAAAAGGGAGGTTCTCTGTATAAAAGGGGCAACTGTGCGGATCTTACATTTTTTTCTTTCCGGACATTATCATGCTCTTCCTTCAGTATCACATTTTTTGTTTCCTGTACAAAATTTGTGCAACCAGGAATTTTCATTATTTTCTCAATTTAACTGGATAGTTTGTTAATCATGGTGGCACAGTGGGTTAAACCGCTGAGCTGCTGAGCTTGCTGAATGAATGGTTGGCAGTTCGAATCTGGGGAGCGGGGTGAGCTCCTGCTGTTAGCCCCAGCTTCTGCCAACATAGCAGTTCAAAAACATGCAAATGTGAGTAGATCAATAGGTACTGCTTCTGTGGGAAGGTTGCAGCACTCCATGCAGTCATGCTGGCCAAAAGACCTTGGAGGTGTCTACAGACAACGCCAGCTCTTCAACTTAGAAATTGAGATAAGCACCACCACCCAGAGTTGGACACGACTAGATTTAATGTCAGGGGAAACCTTTACCTTTTTACCCTGCTAATCAGTATTGCTGGTGGATGCTAAAAGCACGGCTTCTTCACAATATTTCCCCGTCACGTTTTTAAATCAGGAAATTGCACCCCAACTGTGGTGTATGTAATGTATATACTAATGAAGAATTTTGCAAATTCAGCATTTCTTCAATGAAACTGATTTCATCTATTGAAATACATTGAAAATATATTGAAATATTTTTAATTAAATCACCGTTTGACTTTTTGATCAGGCTTCAATTTCCGGCACGATGAAAATTTCAGCATGTTGCCAAACCCCAGTCTTTCTAAGATATTGAAGGAACTGCACGATGTTTGCAACTGAATAAATAAAATCTATCACACTTCATTAGGTTGTGTTTAATCATTTCTTTTTCATTTCCTGTTGTACTAACATAACCAAACTAAAATATTGTGGAAGAAATCAAATGAGTAAAACACAATTTTCAGTCCAACTTGCTCTCAGTGATTTATCAGCTAAAGGTCTAAGTTTATTAAACAGGGACTATAATCTAATTCAGTGGTTCTCAACCTTCCTAACGCCATGGCCCCTTAATATAGTTCCTCATATGATTAACCCCAACCATAACATTATTTTCGTTGCCATTTCATAACTGTCATTTTGCTACTGTTATGAATCTCAGTGTAAATAACTGATATGCAGGATGAATTTTCCTTCACTGGGCCAAATTTGGCACGAATACCCAATATGCCCCAATGAGAATACTGGTGGGGTTTGGGGGGGATTGATTTTGTCATTTGGGAGTGTAGTTGCTGGGATTTGTAGTTCATTCTTCTGACACTCCCATGCAACCACCTCAGGGGTCCCGACCCCCAGGTTGAGAAATTAAAGAAATCCTCGGGTGATTTTCCATTTAGCTTGGAATTGCCAGTATTCATTGATGCACTTAGCTTTATGTTGGTATTTGGCATCTACAGTTTTTACAAGGCACTTTGCTTAAAATTCATGTGTAATCATTTTAACAACTCAATTATTCAGAAAAATCTTGATTGTCAATCAAGATGGAGTTAATTCACTGATTTATATTAGCTCAACACTGCAGCCGTAGATTAAACCAAACAAAGAGTATAAGTCTATATGAAGGTCTCAAGCATGCACATCTGAAATTGTAGGATGGTGAAGTAGAAAATATATCCAATGCAGATATATCCTTATGCGTAGTAACTCTTGCATCTCAAAGCTGAATCTTGGTGTGATGGATCTCTAGATGTAATTTTCACCATCTAGACCAGGCATGGGCAAGCTTAAGCAGCTGAGGGGGGAAAGGAAGGGGCCTGAAGCTGTTAGGAATTGTGGGAGTTGAAGTCCAAAACACTTGGAGGACCCAAGTTTGCCCATGCCTGGTCTAGGACAATAATTCTCAGCCTTTGGTCTTCCAGGGGCTTGGGGCTTCAATTCCCAGTAGCCCAGCTTGGCCAACATCTGGGAATTATTGGGGCTGAAATTCCAAACACCTGGAAAATCAAAGACTGGGGACCACAGTTCTAGAGGACACACAACTCCTATGTTTTGTCAAAGGCTTTTTTGTCGAAGACTATGTTTTGTCGAAGAACTCCTATGTTGCCCCACTTATAATTCAGTATATTTTCTCTTCCTTCTTTCTTCACAGACACAGACATCCAGACAAGAAGCTGGTAATTTGCACCCATAACTTCACAGCCAGAAACAACAATGAGCTTTCAGTGCTTCAAGAAGACTTATTAGAGGTGAGTCAGTGTCCTACAGAACCTATATATGGAGTGGGGGCTCATTGGTATACATCAGGCATGGGCAAACTTGGCCCCTCCAGGTGTTTTGGATTTCAACTCCCACAATTCCTACGCAGCAGAGAGGGAAAAGGAAAGGGCCTGAGCCTGAGCCTGTTAGGAATGGTGGGAGTTGGAGTCCAAAACATCTGGAGGGCCAGAGTTTACCCATACATAGTATAGATGCTGCTGAATATTGTCTCAGAGAAGCTGACTGCATCTGAGAATCACATACACTTCAAACTGTCCCAGTTTGACAGTGACTGTTTGTTTCCTTTAAAATACCCAGTTTCTCTCTTATTTTTCACCTTCATCTGTTAGAAATGTAATGCAATTGTCTGGTTGCCCCTGACACGATAAATAAATAAATTGTTGGTGGGGATCAGAATGCTCTTTGATTTAGGTGAACTACAAATCCCAGCAGCTACAACTCCCAAATGTCAAGGTCTATTTTCCTCAAACTCCACCAGTGTTCACATTTGGGCATATTGAGTATTCGTGCCAAGTTTGGTCCATATCCATCATTGTTTGAGTCCACAGTACTCTCTGGATGTAGGCAAACTACAACTCCAAAAATACCCTTCTAGTATTTTCTGTTAGTCATGGGAGTTCTATGTGTTAAGTCTGGTTCAATTCCATCACTGGTGAAGCTCAGAATGCTCTTTGATTGTAGGTTAACTATAAATCCCAGCAACTACAATTTCCAAATGACAAAATCAATCACACACACCTCTCTGCCCCAACCCCACCAGTATTCAGATTTGAGCATATCGGGTGTTTGTGCCAAATTTGGTCCAGTGAATGAAAATACATCCTGCATATCAGATATTTACATTACGATCACAACAGTAGCAACATTAAAATAATGTTATGGTTGGGGATCACCACATCATGAGGAACTGTATTTAGGGGTCGCGACATTAGGAAGGTGGAGAACCATTGACTTAGCATGTGAGATGTTGGAAGATATGGAATCAGGAATTTCGAAATGCAAAATTGCCTGCTTAGACATACTAAGTCACAATTTCCCCTCAACAGTTAAGTACGTCAGTGTTTGCAAATTATGGTTGAGGGTCACCACAAAATGAAGAAATGTATTAAGGGTTCGCACCATTAGGAAGGTTGAGAACCACTGAAGTAGAACTTCATTTCTGTTTAACTGATGGGCATTTGTTTGTCCTTCGCTGGTAGGTCTTGGATGACAGCAAAAAATGGTGGAAAGTTCAGAACCGTTATGGACAAGTTGGCTATGTTCCTTATAATATTCTTAGCCCAGTTTCGACTGGAGAAGAGTCTGATGTCCAGAACCACAAGAGAACTGCCCAGGTCAATGGGACTAGTCCTGTGGTAAGCAAGGTGAGCAATTGTTACAGCACTCTATTGCAGGGGCTCCACATCCCTCTGAATACCAAATTCTAGAAATAAGCAACGAAGTGTGATTGTTGCCTTCCTGCCCTGTATGCAAGATTTCAGCAGAATATCTCTGGCCACTGTTGGGAACAGAGCACTGGACTAGGTAGTTATTGCTGTGTGACCTAATCTAGAAGAGTGGCTCTTCTGTTCTCTATCCTCTATTCTCGTGACCCAAGCTCATGGAGTCTTAAGGGATGGAACAGATGCCATTTCTTTTAAACGGTTTGAGTTCAGGCTATTTGTCTAATCATATCTCCCTGTATAGATCACGTGCACTGTGGTCTACAGAGGAGGCCCTCCTCTCAGTCCCACCCTGTCACAAGCTCGTTTGGTGGGAACGAGAGAGGGGACGTTCCCGTTTCTGGAGCTCCCTTCCTAAAGAAATAACAATGGCTCCACCCTCCTCTCCTTTAATAAACTTCCAAAAATGTATTTATGCACTTTAGCGTATGGAGAGGAGAATTGGGACACTTTAAATGCTGGCTAACCCACTTGTATTAGAGGGCTATTATGATACATCTGAAATGAAACATGGTTGTCAGCCATTTTAAGGTAATGCCTCTTAATTTGCTTTTAGGCTGTACATTGTAATGTTTGTTTATGTTTTAGTTTTTACGTCTTAATGGATTCTTCCTGTTTTTATTTCATTTCGATGCTTAATTCCTTCATTGTAAGTTTTCTGCTGTTATAATCCATTATTCGGTATTATTTTGATGTGTTTGTACCCGTTTCGAGGCATTGAATGTTTACCCTGAGTCTTTCCGGAGAGAGAGGGCAGCCTAGAAATAAATTTTTAAAATATATTATTGGGCCACCTGATAGCACAGTGAGTTAAACCGCTAAGCTGCTGAACTTGTTGACCAAAAGGTTGGTGGTTCGAATCCGGGGAGCAGAGTGAGCTCCCACTGTTAGGCTCAGTTTCTGTCAACCTAGTGCAAATGTGAGTAGATCAAGAGGTACCGCTTCTGCAGGAAGTTAACAGGGTTCTATGCAGTCATGCTGGCCACATGACCTAGGAGATGTCTACGGACAATGCCGGCTCTTGTGTAGAAATTGAGATGAACACTATCCTCTAGAGTCGGACACAACCAGTCTTAATGTCAGAGGAAACCTTTACCTTTACCTTGTTGTTGTTGTTGTTGCTGTTGTTATTATTATTATTATTTTAAACAGAACAAGATGAGTTCAGCAGACAAGATCACTCTGCTGGCTGTTGTATTGGATCACATGTCGGACACTTCCCAAGTGTCTAGGACTGTGTGATGTATTAGCGAATAATGCGTGCAGATCCCAGTAAGGTAGCCTTTTGCAGCTGGCAGATGGTAATTTTGTCAGTGCCGGTTTTGTTTAAGTACAGGCCAAGGTCTTTAGGCACTGCACCCAGTGTGCTGATCACCATTGGGACCACCTTTACTGGCTTGTGCCAGAGTCTTTGCAGTTGTTGTTGTTATTTTCAAACTCAAGAAGATTAAAGGTGAAAGAGAATGCTTTGAAAATCAGGCATTTATTATCACCCGTATAGGCTGTACATTCAAATGTACACATGCACAAAGTAATTACCTAAGAAGTTCTGTACAAACCAAACCATTGAGGGGCTTCAAAGTTAAAAGCCTGCCGTCTTGGAAAGTCAATGCAGATAATGGTACCGATAGATAATGGTACCGATATGGTACTTTGTTCCATATGTCCTGCCATACAAGAATTTTTTTTAGAAGGCAAGCTATACAATTTGTTTATTGTGTGGTTGAAAGCTTTCTTGCCTAGAATCACTGGGTCGCTATGAGTTTTGCGGGCTGTATAGCCATGTTCCAGAAGCATTCTCTCCTTGCATTCTAGATGGTGTAAATATGGTGAGCCTGTGGTGTTTTTGAAAGTCCTTTTGGCTGCAGAAATTGTGTGAGAGTATCCGTTTCTCTGGAGCGTAGAAGGAAAGTCAGGGAGCACAGTAGATCTGCCTTCCTGGTCCTTAGTTTTTCTAATCTTCTTGTGTCTTGGAACAGTTTCAGGAGAGAATGCTTCTGGAACATGACCGTACAGCCCGGAAAACTCACAGCAACCCATTTTGCTTATTTATCTTTACTTAGAAAGTTCCACCCCAGCCACCACCAAAGACCAAAGGTGTGTACTCCAATGGCAGGAGCTGGGCCAGCACAGAGGCACTTAACATGGACCTGAGTGATCGAGGTAAGACCCTCTTCCCTTGTAGAAAACATGGAGAACCCCCAGCGTTGTTCCAACAAATTCGTCCTAGTGATATCAGCGAAATCTTGGCACAAAGCAGAGGATGTCTTAGTCACTCCTTATAGCACTGCAAGAATAATGTTTTGGCTTCTGGCCCAGTCTGAGTATAAAGTATTGAAATGGGGAGAGGTCTCGTTGCTGTTCACGCCTCTGCAATAAAACTCTCTACTACCTTGGGGAGTCCCAAATCCTGCTTCTAGAACAAAGCACTTTACATTAGATACTTGAAACAGTTAAGACTAGTTGGCCATGAAAAGCCATTGTTGTGTGCCTTCAAGTCAATTTCCGGCAAATGGTGACCTTAAAGTGAACTTATTACAGGGCTTTCTTGGAAAGGTTTGTTCAGAGAAGGAATGCCCTTGCCTTTCTCTGAAGCTGAGAGAGTGTGTCCGATGCAAGGTCATCCTGCCGATTTCCATAGCTTAGTGAAGATTCAAACTCTGGCTTCCCAGAGTCTCAGTCCAACACTTAACCATTACACTGTGTTGGCCTGACAAAGCAGTACAAAGCATATACTGTATATACTCAAGTAGAAGCCGACTCAAATATAAGCTGAGGCACCTAATTTTACGACAAAAAACTGGGAAAACGTATTGACTCGAGTATAAGTCGCAGGTGGGAAATGCAGCATCTACTGGTGAATTCCAAAATAAAAATAGATACCAATAAAATTACATTAATTGAGACATCAGTAGGTTATTTTTTTTTCCAATTTTTACATAAAACTGTAATTTAAGATAACTGTCCAACTCTGATTAAACTATTATTCTAACCTTCTTGAACGTAAATGTGCTTACATATCCTTCCAATAATAATAAAGAGAGTAAAATAATAAATGTAATAATAACAATAATAAATAGAGTAAAATAATGGAAATGTAGTCGTAACAGTAATAATAGAATAAAATAATAATAATAATAATAATAGAGTAAAATAATGCAAATGTAATAGTAACAGTAATAATAGAGTAAAATAATAAATGCAATGATAATAAAAATAGAGTAAAATAATAAAAGTAATAAAATAATAATGATAGAGTAAAACAAGGTAAATGTTTTAAATAACAATAATAAAAGAGTAAAATAATACATATAATAAAAAATAGAGTAAAATAGTAAATGTACTGATAAAAATAGAGTAAAATAATAAAAGTAATAAAATAATAATGATAGAATAAAACAAGGTAAATGTAATAATAATAATAAAAGAGTAAAATAATACATATAATAATAAAATAGGGTAAAATAATAAATGTACTGATAATAAAAATAGAGTAAAATAATGAATGTAACAATAATAATAAATGGAGTAAAATAAAAGTAATAAAATAATAATGATAGATTAAAACAAAGTAAATATAAAAATATCAACAATAATAATAGAGTTAAATAATAAATATAATAATAAAAATAGAGTAAAATAATAAATGTAATAATAATAAATAAAAATAATGATAATAGAGTAAAATAATATAAATGTAATAATAATAGAGTAAAATAATAACTTTGACTTGAGTATAAGCCGCAGGGGGCTTTTTCAGTCTAAAAAGGGGCTGAAAAACTCTGTTTATACTCAAGTATATATGGTAGTTTATAGTTGCCCTTATATTAGCATACTACAGGAATTCCTTGAAAGAATATGAACTTTTGAACGACTACAATAGATACTTGTATTGTACTGCGGGAAGCAAAGTTCATTCTTCTGTCTATTCATGCAAATGTTTACAACTCAGTGGGACCATGCATAACATCACTTCCTGCCCTGACAGAGCGCTTCAACACCGTCAATGAGGAGCTGGCCCTGAGGTTGGCCAATGGCTCAACTGCCCGCAAGAACCTTCAAATCCAGCGTGCTCCTGATACCAATGTGCCTTTAAGATATGATTCAAATACTGCTGAAGTCCAGACATGGCTAGAGGCCAAGGGGTTCAACCCATTGTGAGTTGGTCTTTTTTATAGAAAAATATATAGTGGGATTGTGGTTGACAAAAAAGCATATATATATATATATATATATATATATATATATATATATATATCACACACACACACTAGCTGTATCCACAACGTGTTGCTGTGGCTAACCTTCCCTCCCTCTTTCTCTCCTCCTTTCTTTCTCTCCTTCCCTCCCTCCCTCCTTTCTTTCTTTCTTTCTTTCTTTCTTTCTTTCTTTCTTTCTTTCTTTCTCTCTCTCTCTCTCTCTCCTTCCTTCCTTCCTTCTCTTCCTCTTCCCTTCCTTCTCTTCCTCTTCCCTTCTGCCCCTTTTYCCCCCTTTCTCTTTCTCTCCTTTCTTCCTTCTCTACCTATTCTTGGACTGCAACTCCCAGCAGTCCTCCTGATTGSTCTAKCTATCTACATATCTATGTCTATCTAATCTGTCTATCTGGAGAATTGCTGGGAGTTGCAGWACAAAAATAGGAAATTGGAAATATGCAAGGATTTGGATGCTCTCAAAATAAATCCAAGGAGAAGAAAGCTTGCATCTTGGAAGCAGTGCATTTGGATCATTCTCCTCTCCTAAAGGACTTGGTCTAGGGGATGCTGGGATCTGTAGTCTGGAAGAGGGTGTGGATATGCTATCGTGTGTGTGTTGTTTGCCAGGGGGAGTCATTTTTGTGCATGCGCTGTAGTGTCTTTTTGCTTTGGGGGGGCTTTTAAAGTCCCTTCTGCTGTGTTTTTCAGTGTTTTTATGAGTGATGGTCACTTGTTGGCCTGATAGGTGTATTGTGTCCAAATTTGGTGTCAATTCGTCAAATGGGTTTTGAGTTATGCTAATCCCACAAACTAACATTACATTTTATTTATATAGATATAAGAGAGATATAAGATATAAGATATATATATATATATATATATATATATATATATGAATATGCACATACATACACACACACATATACTCCTTAACACAGGCCAAAACTGCCTCTTGCCTTTGTTATTGACTGGCCTTAGTGCATTAAAATTTCATGTTGGGTGTTGGCCTGCCATAACAACGGCATAAGCCAATATTTCCCACGCATTTTCCTTAGTTGGCAAGCATCTGACCATTTTATCAGCAATTTCCCCAACTGGCCACCATGTGAAGCAGCCGTTGATTTCCTGGCCTGTTCAATAACACATGGCTTCTCATGCAGTGTCGTTGCTTAATTTTTCGGTAGGGGTTTGACATCCCTGAGTAATGCTAGTTAAATCTGAAAGACTTAGCCATGTTAATTTGATGCAGCATGTTATCAAGCATATTTATACAATTGTGAGAGTTAGATAGAATGGAATAGAACCCAGTATGCAGCAAATCATGACCTTCACTCTAAATTTTCAGCCTGTGTGAGATGATGCATGGCTTTCAGATCTTTACAGTGGCCACTTAGCACTGATGTGTGAAAGCAATTAATCCACTTTCACAACAATCAGCTCCAGTGTTCCATGGATGTATATTGGAGGCTTGGGAAAGCTGACTTAGAATCATAAAATCGTAGAGTTGGAAGAGACCTCGTGAGCCACCCAGTCCAACCCCCCTGCCAAGAAGCAGGAAAATCACATTCAAAGCACCCCTGACAGATGGCCATCCAGCCTCTGTTTAAAAGCCTCCAAAGAAGGAGGCTCCACCACACTCTGTGGCAGAGAGTTCCATTGCTCAACAGCTCTCACAGTTAGGAAGTTTATCCTAATGTTCAAGTGGAATCTCCTTTCCTGTAGTTTGAAGCCATTGTTCTATTTCCGAGTCTCCAGGGCAGCAGAAAACAAGCCGGCTCTCTCCTCCCTATGACTTCCCCTCATATATTTATACATGGCCCTTATCATGTCTTCTCTCAGCCTTCTCTTCTGCAGGCTAAACATGCCCAGCTCTTTAAGCCGCTCCTCATAGGGCTTGTTCTCCAGACCATTGATCATTTGAGTTGGTCGTTCTCCTCTAGACACATTCCAGCTTGTCAACATCTCCCTTCAATTGTGGTGCCCAGAATTAGTATTCAGAGTGTGGTTTGACCAAGGAAGAATAGAAGGGTAGCATAACTTCCCTGGATCTAGACACTAGACTCCTATTTATGCAGGACTAGAATCTTGTCCTGCATAAATAGGAGTATAGTGTCTATATAGCAGTATAGACTCTTGTATAGAATCTTGTCCTGATTAAGATTCTTAATTATTGTTGTTGGGACTCCTTGAAGTGACTGACTTGACCTTGAAGGAGCTTGGGGTGGTGATGGCCAACAGGGAGCTCTAGCGTGGGCTGGTTCATAAGGTCACGAAGAGTCGGAAGCGACTGAATGAATGAGCAACAAAGTGACTCCCTACTACAGGATTTCTCAATCATGTTTCCCTGAAACCATAGAGCTCCCAAAGAGATCCAATAGCAGATCTCCAAGCATCTAGGGCCAGAAATGCATTTTAGAGCTATAGATCTAATTATTTGTTGTAGGGATTTCTTATGAACTGAACATTATTTCAAGGTATTGTCAAAGGCTTTCATGGCCAGAGTCACTGGGTTGTTGTGGGGTTTTCGAGCTGTATGGCCATGTTCTAGAAGCATTCTCTCCTGACGTTTCACCTGCATCTATGGCAGGCATCCTCAGAGGTTGTGAGGTCTCACAACCTCTGAGGATGCCTGCCATAGATGCAGGTGAAACGTCAGGAGAGAATGCTTCTAGAACATGGCCATACAACCCGGAAAACCCACAACAACCCATTATTTCAAGGATTTCCTCAAGGATTAAATGCTTTGCAAAGACTATCCTACTGACTCATTGCCAAAGACAATCTGTGGAGTATAGGAGATGCCAAACTATTTGTTTGGTTGCTGTTTAGTTATGGTAGATTCTTACTGCATTCATCAGAACTAATCTTCCATCCCTCTTTCAGTGTGAGTTAATTCAATTTCATAAATGTATGGTATTTAGAGTTTGATGGGTGTAAATCAGAGAAATATGACTTCTTTCCATGACTTCCGTATCTATCCTCTGATACTGCAGCACCGTGAAAGCCTTTGGAGTTCTGAGTGGCGCTCAGCTCTTCTCCCTGCAGAAGGATGAGTTCAAAGCGGTCAGCCCAGAGGAAGGCGCTCGGGTGTACAGCCAGGTTACCGTCCAGAGAGCTCTCTTGGAGGTACAAATCTTTCCTAAGAGTTTTCCGTAGACACTCGGGGACATAGAGATTCCTAGCAAGAACACTTGTCTAGACATTTGTAGGTCCTCCAGTGCAATTATAAGGTCAACACTGACCACTAATCACACTGGAGGACCAAGAGATTCATAGAGGTGTTCTCTGAGGCTCCTTCTACACTGCCACATAAAATTCGGATTATCTGCTTTGAACTGGATTACATGGCAGTGTAGACTCATATAATCCAGTTCAAAACGGAGCCCCCAGTGGTGCAGTGGGTTAAACCCCTGTGCTGGCAGGACTGAAGACCAACAGGTTGCAAGTTCGAATCCCTCTATCAGCTCCAGCTCATCATGTGGGGACATGAGAGAAGCCTCCCACAAGGATGATAAAATATCAAAACATCCGGGCGTCCCCTGGGCAATGTCCTTGCAGATGGCCAATTCTCTCACACCAGAAGCGACTTGCAGTTTCTCAAGTCACTCCTGACATGACAAAAAAAAATCCAGTTCAAAGCAGATAATGTGGAAGTGTCGAAGAGACTGGAGATTTAAAAAATTGTGGGTTTTTTTATTTGCAGTTTTTCCACTTTTGCTGGCATCCTATTCTCGTGACCCTCAGTCGATGGCCTACTTATTTGGAAGGGTGTTGGTGGAAATCTCTCTGAGGGCCTTCCACACAGCTCTGTATCCCAGAATATCAAGGCAGAAAATCCTACAATATCTGCTTTGAGCTGAGTTATCTAAGTCCACACTAAGATAATGTGGGATTTTCTGCCTTGATATTCTGGGATATAGGGCTGTGTGGAAGGGCCCCTAGAGGCTTTAGCACAGGGTGCATCCAGATGGATGGAAAAAGCCCAGATTTTGTTCCTGTTCTAACCAGTGTTATATGGGGTATTTATTTATTGTGTCAGAACCAAATTGAGGATACAATTATAATTCATTAAAAACAAAAAGTTAAAAATTTGGCATTTTACTAAATTTCTTTTTATCAGAAGCTGGCCACTTGGACTGCTTCTGGTGTTGCTATAAGAAAGTACTCCATTGTGCATGTGGCAGGGCTCAAACTTCATTGTAGTAAGTGGTTTGTGGTTTGCTCTCATCTTCACTCACATGTCGTGGACTCCACTGTGTAGCACTATTTCTTAAGGTTAGCTCTGCACCTCTGGTATCAGATTGCAATCTGTTCAGCGCCTTCCAAGTCGGTCAGTCTTCTGTGTGCCCAGGGGGGAGTTTCTCATTTGATATTAGCCACAAGTTGAGGTTCCAGGTTTTAGCCTGCCACTTTTGGACTCTTGCTTGCTGAGGTGTTCCTGCGAATATCTCTGTAGATCTTAGGAAGCTATTTCTTGATTTAAGGCATTGGCATGCTGGCTGGTATCTGAACAGAGAATGAGCTGGAGATGTCACTGCTTCGGTCCTTTCTTTGCTAGCTGCTACTACCTGATAGATGTCAGGTGGTTCAATACCGGCTAAACAGTATAATTTATCCAGAGGTGTAGGGCATAGACATCCTGTGATAATGCAGCATGTCTCATTAAGAGCCATAACGTGGTGAGATGTATTCCACACTGGGCATGCATATTCAGCAGCAGAGTAGCAAAGTGCAAAGGCAGATGTCTTCAATGTATCTGGTTGTGATCCCCAGGTTGTTCCAGTCAGCTTTCATATGATATTATTTCTAGTACCCACTTTTTGCTTGATAGTCAAGCAGTGCTTCTTACAAGTCAGAGCATGGTACAGAATGACTCGAGATGCTTGTCTATTATTAAGGTGAAAAGCACATGTCTGTATTTTAGATCAGTGGTTCCCAACCTTTTTTTGACCAGGGCCCACTTGAAGGTGGACCACTTTTAGTATATCATTCCAATTTTAGTATATGTGCTGCCTAAGTGAGCACTTTGACCAGGAACCACTTTGACCAAGGACCACTCTCCAACATTAGTACCAAAAGGGGTGGGATGGTTAGCTCTATGGAAAGGAGTGGAAATAAAATATTTTTTTTTGTCATGTCAGGAGTGACTCCTGGTGTGAGAGAATTGGCCGTCTGCAAGGACGTTGCCCAGGGGATGCCTGGATGATTTTGATGTTTTTATCATCCTTGTGGGAGGCTTCTCTCATGTCCCCGCATGAGGAGCTGGAGCTGATAGAGGGAGCTCATCCGCCTCTCCCCGAATTCGAACCTGAGACCTGTCGGTCTTCAGTCCTGCTGGCACAGGGGTTTAAAATAAATAAAGAGGAAGGAGGTTTGCAGACCAGATTTTCGATTACATGGCCCACTGCTGGGCCACGGCCCATAAGTTGAGAACCACTATTTTAGGTGGACTGGGAATCAGCTAATCAGTTATATGGGGTTCAAATAACCTGACCTGGGGATCTGGTATTGGAATTTGATCGTATTGGGAGCTGACAGAAAATATTCTGACACGAACACACCATGTATAGATATCCAAAATAAAGTTGGAAAGAAAAAGGAACAAAATCTGAGATCTTCTGGTCTTCTTAATCAGTCTGGAGTTAAAATACAGAGACTGTGAGCAGGAGGATGGAGTTAAGCCAGAAAGTTACTGATTTTAGAAAGCATCACATGCGTCATAGATGTGAAAAAGCAAAGTGAGATGGGAGGGGGATTGGTAAATGCTTCAAGGCAAAACAGCATCTGTTCCTAACGTGTATCATTTTCTTCCAGGATACCGGGAAAGTATCAGAGCTGGAAGCAGTCATGAAGAAACAGAAAAGGAAACTGGAGGGAATGAGTGAATAGCAATCTTTGATATGGGAGTGCCCTCTACTGAAGAAATGTTGGACTACTGGATTTCAGTCTCAGGCATCACATTCAAACTTCCTTCCGCGCACCTTATACAGGAACATGTACTTGAGCTAAGCGGCTTTTGTTGAATGCATAATTTATATTTCTGATCAGTTGCAAAAAAAATTCTCTCCAAATAACAATCTCCCTTGTTGAAATAGCTGTCAAGAAGCAATCATCTGGTTCGTGGACTCTTTTCCTTGCACACTTAGGAAAAGCTGAAAATAGTGCCGCTCTCCTCTTCCTCATAATGCAGAATATTCATATTGCACTTATTTATCTTCTGTTGTTAAAAGGATGGTGTTTATTTAGGTTTCTCATGTGTAGGTAGGAAAATGAGAAACTGAACTTTTTATTATCCAGTTTCCCAGTTTTAGATATTGCTGCACATATTTTTTGAGTGGCATGCATTTCTTGGTCAGCAATCTGCATTAAAATGATCATCCCCGCCCTCTTGTATTTATTTTGCACATTGCCTCATAGATAAAGACTTGTAGTCAAATCTCTGACTCTCCACCACATTTTAAGCTAGGAATGTTTTCTTCCTCAGATTTATCCTGCTGTCTTTACTTTGTTAAGAATAAACAGAGGCTTTAGGGCAGGCATGGGCAAACTTCGACTCCAGGTGTTTTGGACTTCAACTCCCGGCTGTTAGGAATTGTGGGAGTTGAAGTCCAAAACACCTGGAGAGCCAAAGTTTGCCCATGCCTGCTTTAGGGAGTAGGGGAGAACTTGGCACAAAATATCTCAGGAATAGTGACGTAGCCTGCGTCATTTCACAGATGAGAAGAGAGACACGTATGGCCAAGCTACATTACTATGTGGTTAATATGGTATATCTTATTAATGAGGAAAAACACACAAGCTGCAGCTGTTTGCTTTTGCCTGATCCTACTGGGAAGTACAAAATTCTGCCTCTTCTTCTCTTTCCCCCAGCTGTTAATGGAGTACAAACCAGTTATGCACTTTGAATTCTGTTTGACACAATCAATCTAAGTTTAAAGAAAAAGTGGCAGGAAGAGTGAGGCACTAACATTTTTTTAAAGGAGCTGAAAAGGCAAGCAGATACAAGATGTAACTTGGACTGTCCCTGTGGATATGTAATGATTTAGATTGAATTTCTACTCCCACATTGATTGAACTCATGAATCAATAGGATTTGCACACTTGCCATATAGTAACTTATTCAATACGTCTCATTTGTGTGGGCTATCAATTACTGCTCTCGATGCTTGTCTGTTCTTAAGATGAAAAGCACATGTCTGTGTTTTAGATGGTTTTCCCTGTAATAGGCAGTAAAAGCACCTAAAGCTTCAGAGAGCTTCTGTTCAACCATTACAAAGCTCCCTGGTTGAACGGTGATGGCATGATCGTCATTATAGATTAAACTCTCTGTCCCTTCTATTTTAGGGTATCATGGGATAAAATGGAAGAAGCCAGTCCACAAAATACTATCTCTATCAGTATGACAGGCTGCTTTTCAACAAACAACAACAAACACTTTTTTTCCATGTTGTCAAGGGCTTCTGTTCAGCCATTACAAAGCTCCCTGCTTGAGCAGTGATGGCATGATCGTCAGCATAGATGAAACTCTCTGTCCCTTCTATTTTAGGGTAACATGGGATAAAATGGAAGAAGCCAGTTCACAAAATACTGTCTCTATCAGTATGAAAGGCTGCTTTTCAACAAACAACAACAAACACCCTTTTTTCCATGTTGTCAAGAGCTTATGTTCAACCATTACAAAACTCCCTGCTTGAGTGGTGATAGCATGATCGTCATCATAGATGAAACTCTCTGTCCCTTCTATTTTAGGGTAACATAGGATAAAATCAAAGAAGCCAGTTCACAAAATACTGTCTTTATCAGTATGAAAGGTTGCTTTTCAACAAACAACAACAAACACCTTTTTTCCATGTTGTCTATTTGGAATGAAAATGGGGCCTTCCAAAATGCCTTATAATTTGCTATAAGATTTCCAGCAGTTTCAGGAGGATCAAATATTCCCTTCCATTGCAATACAAGGTGTTTTTAACTCGATCTCCTCTGATCACAAGATGGCAGTCTCTCCACTGGAAGCAAATGTAGACAACATTCCCAAGTATTTCTCAAAGTTATGTCCTTACTTTCCCTCACTTACATACATAAAAACACTGCCAAATTTTAATAGTTTGGCTCTTTCATCTCTGGGTGAATGCTTTATTGGGGGAAATGAACTGAACTTGAATCAGCTGCTTTCAAGGAGTCATGAAACTGCGATTGCTTCCAAGTTTGATCAGGCATCTTGAAGTGTGTCACGTTGTGTTTCCATTGCGTTGGAATAAAGTTTTGGGGTAGACATTTAACCAGGTGGATCTTATGCCAACAATTTTCACACGACTTGGCAAGTCGTTGAAAAACACGTGACAATGGTGGCTATCATCATGCTTAAACCATTTTAAGTTGACCTTCTTGATGTTTAGTTTGAAGCACAAATTTGCCAACATATTTCCTCTGTTTACGCTTCATCAGTGCCTTAAGATGGATGTTTTTTGAGAAAGTGGTGGCCAAATCACCCAAGACTGTTGTTCCAAAAGAAATCTGGTGTAAGAAAATATTTGCTTTAAGCATATTTATTGTTAAGTTCACATTGGGTCATATTAAGTTTTTGTAAAGACGCAGCACAGTTTTAATATTGTGTTTCCCTTCTCCAGTAGCTTACGTCTGAAATTTTTTCTTCAAGTAGGAATCCACCAAATGACAACCAGATCAAGTCTTTTCTCTCCCAATTGCAAATCCAAGATGAAAATGAAGCCTACTGGGTGACCTTAGACAAGTCACACACTCTCAGCCTCAGGAAGGCAAGGGCAAAAACCCCTCTGAAGATATCATTCCAACACCCCATGAAAGCATACTCTACCAGATTTCACAGCTGAAAACTGGGACATGTATGGGCAAGCAATATCAGAGTGTGATCAAGTTATTAATGAGGAAAATTGACCATTGAGGAAAGACTGAAGCAATTTACTTTTGCCTAAGCCCACTGGGAAAGGGCAAGATTCTTCCTGCAGAGTCAACTGAGTGAAACTACATTTTGCACTGCAACTCAGTTTGCAGCAATAGAAATCAGCTGAGGATAAAGGGGATGTGGGAGTAGAAGGAGGAGGAGAGAAAGAATTTTAAAAACAACTGAAAAACTAGAACACAGATGATTAATTTGAACTGCCCCTGAATAATAATAATAATAATAATAATAATAATAATAATAATAATAATAAGGCAAGGCGCAAGGCAAAGGCAAGGCAAAGCAAGGCCAAAGCAGATAATGTGGATTGATTTGATAATCTGAATTGTATGTCCATGTTGAAGGGACCACAATTTTTTTGCGACCAGTTATTTATGTCATCTTGTTGGTTTTTCTGTATAGTGAAGTCATTTTTAATGTATGGTGACACCAAGATGATTTGAAGAACATGGCTTCGCTGTCCTTAGGGTTCCTATTCTATGTTGTAGAGTGAATGCAAGTTGGCACCACTTTGACTGCTATGGTTCATGAATTTTGTCCTTTGATATGAGGCACCAGCACTCTTTGGCCCCTTTTACACTATCATATAACATCCAGATTATCTGCTTTGAATTGTATTATTTGGCAGCATAGACACATAATCCAGTTCAAAGCAGATAGCGTTGATTCTCTGTTTTGATAGAAGGGGCTTATGGCCCATTCCACACAGCCCTATATCTCAGAATATCAAGGCAGAAAATCCCACAATATCTGCTTTGAACTGGGTTATCTGAGTCTACACTCAGATAATGTGGGAATTTCTGCCTTGAAATTCTGGGATATAGGGCTGTGTGGAAGGGCCCCCAGACAGCAGAGTGACTACAATTCCCATGTTTCCATAATAGTGAGTCGTGGTAGTTAAAACCGAGCGAAATAACATGCTTTCTACAGTGTAGAATGATATACTCATAGGAATTCCTGGGACATCTTTGAGGTCCAGATAATGACTGCACACACTACAAAACATTGATGCCCATTCAGGGCCTCCTTTCGCATACTTTTTGTAAGAGTTAGTTGTCTGGCTAAAAAAGTTAATTTGTGTTAATTCTATGTAATGCAACTATATGAACATAATGTTGTAAGTAAAGTTCTGGTTTGTAAGGTAACTCTTTTATTCACCTCTACCTGTGTTTTATTTTTCAGTGATTGGTTTGGGGTGTGTGTGTGTGTGCCAAAATACTGTTTGCTTACACTTGAAAATTACCTAGGGCCAGCTCTGCCTGCAGACCAGTTACTAGGCAATGTAAATAGGAGAGCAATTTGCCCACATGTCTTGTTTGTTTATTTGTTTCCTTCCCAGGGACTTTGGGTTGGTCAGTGTGGGAGAAACTGCGTTGAATGAGATCTGCCTTTAGTCGATCAGGCACAGCTCTTCTGTTCTTAACATGTAAATGCTGCTAGACAAGTAAACTCATGATCACAGAGTTCACATTACCATTAATGAAAACTTGCAAATTAAATGACTTGATTTTTTTCAGAACTTCCTGAGATGCCTAGATGCTTATTTTGGGGTGGAGGGTACATGATGGAAGTGCAATGTGTTCAATGGCAAAGCTGCTTGTTGTATTCCGAATTCTGTAAATAAAATATATCAGTCGCTTCCTGCCTCGTGGAATGTTTGTGTTTGCTTTCTCGAGCAATTAACACCATGCTTTTGTTTGCAGATTCAATCACAAATTAAGATGAGTTAATTAAGATGAATTAAATTAAGGTGAGTTAAATTAATATGGGCTTTTCACTGCCGCACAGTAAGGACTCGCTGGCATCCCTCCAAACAAAGACATCTCCTTTACCACCTTGGAGTCATTTATTATCTGAAATCTGTCATTCACATTCAAATTTAAAGTGTTAATAATTTAAATATTTATATGCCGCTTTTTCTATATATAAAGCTATCCAAAGCAGTTTGGCATTGGAATGAGTTGAACTGACTTCAAGTGAACTGAAGCACATTGTGTGGTTTTGAGGTGGTTGTTGCTTCTAATTGTTAGCGGGTGGCATTACCACTGGACTTTCTTTTGTTATGATATGGATCTTGCAAATATTTGCAGTTTTTAAACCTGCTCCAGATAGAGAGGAATCCAGATGTGGGAGGCCAACATGGTTTATCATTTTACCATCATCTCCCAGCCTTTGAGGAAGGACCACAGTGTAGGTGCCGAGCATATGTTTTGTTGTTGTCATAATTACTGCTGTTTCTCTCTTGATATCCCATCTTTTCCCCAATCTGAGACTCAGGGCAGTTTACAAAGGTGGAAACAAATGCAGCTTTAGAATTCGTATCATGCAAAATTAAACATTAACAATAGAATTACAAACAATTTCAATAATATGTTGTTGAAGGTTTTCATGGTCGGAATCACTAGATTGCTGTGAGTTTTCTGGGCTGTACGGCCATGTTCCTGAAGCATTCTCTCCTGACATTTTGCCTGCATCTATGGCAGGCGTTCTCAGAGGTTGTGAGGTCTGTTGGAAACTAGGCAAAGGTGGTTTATATATCTGTGGAATATCCAGGGTGGGAGAAAGAACTCTTGTCTGCTTGAGGCAGGTGTGGATGTTGCAATTGGCCACCTTGATTTGCATTGAATGGCCTTGC